CGCCTACTTTTTAATCTAAATATATCTATATATGCATATATAAGAAAGTTGTGTTAGTAACACCGCTTATAATTGAAGAACCGCCGATCTGATTTTAACGATTTTGACAAATTCGGAATTGTCTCTTGGCGAGAAAGAATAAAATCCAAAAAATCGCGTAAAAATGTGAAATTTGAGCATTTTTATTTTGACTTTTAAAATGTACAATAGTAGTGTTTTATTTTGCATATTTTTTTTTTCCATTTTGTCTTACAATTTTCGAATGTATATTTGTAGTGTTTTTTTTTTAATTCTAATATTATGTGTAGTCTTTTCGGGGAGTATAAAGCGACAACGGACAAAACTGTTATTTATAGATATAAGCTATGAACAAAAATATTTTAATTACTTTTTTAAAATCGATAAAAATAATCACAAAAAAGGCCATTTCTTTGCAAAAATTCTAAAATCGGGAAAGAAAAATGAAAAATTGTTTAATGGAACCGAATTTCAAAATAATAGTACATTCTATTGACAAACTTCGTAACGACCTTTAAACATTTGCTGTAAAATATCAGCGAACCAGTTGAAGATTTTTTTTATTTTTTTCAGTTTGTTTTTCTTTTTTTGTCAATTTTATATAATGTACGGTTTTTTTTCAATTTAGCTTAAGATGTTGAATTCGATCGTTTTTTTTTTTTTTTTCTGTGAAAAAAATAAAGAATTATTTTCAACATATATAAGAAAATCATGTCAGTTACTACGCTTATAACTCAAGAACGGTTTGACGGATTTTAAGAATTCACACAATTTCGGATGGTATGCAATACGATATTAAATGGCAATCTTTCATGCCTAAAATTGGCATATAGCTTTCAACTCCAGGACCTAAATCGTGCTTACGCTGGTAAATGCGAACACATTTAAACAAACAAAAATGATCGACAAAGCGTTATGGGGCTCATTTCAAAACGTGAACTTACTTCTTTCACATGACAATAATCCGTCCAAAGAGAACTCAAAATGCCAAATTCATTGGGACTGCAATCAGTGATATACCGAATATAAAGCGAATTGGACATTTAGTAAGAAAAGAATTTCTTCCTAAACTTTCAAGATACCTTAGATTGCTTTTTCAGGTCATGATTTGGGTCATAGCCCCCAGATAAGAGTACAACCCGATTTCAAGTATAGTTTACATTTTAACCATATTTTCCATACAAATTTCGGCAAATGTTGGTAATTTGAGAAGAAACCATCATCATCAAAAAAATGAATTCCCATCTTTCGGTAATGGGTGTAAAAGAGTAATTATCTTTGACTATTCTGAAATCATTCTGCCCTCAATTATGAGGTGGACAAAAATAAATACTACGCAGCACGGTATTCTAAACGTTGGAAATACAAATTCCAAATTACAGCTCATTTTAATTTAAAATATTGCTAATCTCTTTAAAACACAGAAAATTGAGCTGAGTTTTCACATGGGGCTATTATCGACATTCTTTATCATAAAAGTTTTTAACATTCAAATTAAAGCCTATGGCTGACAAATAAGATCAGGCTATTTAAAATATGTAACACCGACGGTAGGTGAACATTTATAATAATTTTTGCCATGAATATTTGTTTCTATTTAGAAATTACTATTCAGTCATTACTTTTTATTAGATGAGTCAGATCTGTGATCTATTATGCTTAAAAAAATAATCATTAAAGACTAAAAGTACGGGCCGGCAACGCGGAACGGGCCAGCTAGTGCATATATAAAAAGGAATTTCAATTTATAAAATGGAATTTCAAAAATTAATTATAAATAAAAGCTATTGAGTCAATTATAGGGCATGAATTTTTTTCCAGTGGCATCTTAACTCAAATAAGCTCTACGAAAAGTGAAGTTGTACAAAGAAATTGTACACTAAGTTGTATCGTTTGTGACAAAAACACAGAAATTGAGAACTCTCCAAGTTTTACAACCAGTTGTATATTATGTGGCTTGCAAAAGCGATATTATAGACCGGAATTGTCTCGTTTCTTTTCCATTTTGTATTTCAAAGTGTAATTGGGAACGACACCCCATAACAGAAAATTACTTATACAGGCGCACGTCTTCGTATAGCCACAATATTCGGTACTTTTAAATTTCGTGTCTAAGGCTCGTGACGGAATTGTTTAAAATTTCGCATTTGAAGTTCGGAATCGGTATTACAACCAATGACAAAAAAACAAGTAAGCAAAGGCTATAGTCGTGCGGGCCGACCATGTGATACTCTACAACACTTATGCCCTCTTATGTCCAAATCCATTTTGGAAGATTTCGCTTTTGAAATTATGTCACGGTGCACTGCCCAGATATTACCCTCAGCATTTTGACCAGTGATATTTGCCCAATATTTACGCACTCTGTCGTGCTGTTAGTTGTTGTGGTCCATTTTACAGATAAATATAATCCAATGGTAATCAAAAATGCTAGAATTCTTCCCTGTCCTTGACGCTCTTCTCATGCATGTCGAACGGCTTCAATTGTTTTTCGACATGCTGTTTTTCTGTTTTTGGTTCATTTGAACCCCTCAGTATTTTGCGATCATCTCCAAAAGCAAGGAGGAAGCAGAGGGGCTGTATATCCAAATTTGCTTGTCTACGATATTTCGCTATATTCGTCAACAAAATCAGCATAAAAAAGCTAGAAGTTCACCTTTTGTGTATTTCGGATATCGCCTGTAAGTTATGTTGGTATTTTTTCACACAAAAATCATAGTCCATTCTACCCGATGTCCTAAACTTTAACTTCATGCGAGATTTTGTGTCCTATTTATGACCTTTATAACGGCTGCAAAATCAGGAACATTTTAGTTGCTGGTCCATTTCAACCTCTTCTGAGCCTAACCCTACCCTCGTGAAAATTTTCGTGAGGATCGGACGATTATTGCAATCTGTATATAATAACCCCCAACTCAACCTTTGTTGAAAGGTGAAAATATTACAAAATATACACTTCAATATTATAAGTCATATTGAAAAAATCGCATGCGATAAAAAGTATGAAAATATGTCACAAAATACAACAAAATCTATATTAGCTTCATTATTGGCATCTTTTTATACGAGAGGGCATTCTGAATTGACAAAATGTGTCAAAATCTGTCCAGCCATTCTTGAGATATAAGCATTCTAGCTAACATTCCCTCCTTTTGTATATACACATTGTATATATTTCTCTATATATATCTATTTTTGGCATCTAAGTGATGGTCAGAATTAACCTTTTTGTGATTTCGCCGGGATTTTGAATATTGCCACTTGCATTTTCAAAGCAGATATTTTCTATTAAAAATTAATATAATCATCAATATTGGACCGTTTTACATAGACCTAATGCATGATCTTCTCCAAAACGCGACATTTTAATGATATGTTTCTTTGATCATTTATATAACTAATGGATATGAAAATATTAATTTACATCCAGTGGGTTAAGCCATATATATGTAAACGTATTGTAAAAATCAAAAAAAAAAAAAAACAACAAACAAACCCTTAGAAGCACCCATGGTAGAAGAATACAGGTAGTCGCATCGACACAGCTGCTGGGGCAATGAACTGTCAAACCAATTTTAAAATTGAAACATTTTTATGAAAAATTATTGAAATTTGTAAAAATTGTTGAAAATTGCATATCATTACAACCTTTGAATGGTGTCGTATAAGAAAACTTATTAAAATCAAAGTATTCCCAAGCGTTGATTATCTAATTAAGCTGAGTTGGTGGGGACATTTTCATCGAATCAGCAAAAATTCTCCACGTGCTACCGATGTCTTTAAAAAAAACTTTTTACACCATCCACCATTTTATGAAGGGTATACTAGCTCTGTCATTCCGTTTGTAACTCCTCGAAATATTCATAATAGAACCTAGCCATGTCCGTCTGGCTGTCTGTTGTAATCACGCTATCTTTCGAACGAATTGAGATAGATGGCTAAAATTTTGTATACATGTATAGTTTACCAGTAGGAAGTTAAGTTCGTAAATGGGCCATGTCGGTCCACGTTTTCGTATAACCCCATTTAACGGTACCTCCCGTTATTCTTCATTTTCATGATTTTTGCGACATTATTTATCGGAATTAGTTTAAATTTCATATTTAAAGTCCGTAATGGGTACTACAGCCTATGACAAACATTTTTGTATGCATGTCCCCGTCTTCGTATAGCCCCCGTAAAACGGTACCTCCCGATAGTCGGTATTTTGATGATTTCAGCAACATTATTCACCGGAATCGTTTCCAATTTTGTATCGGAAGATCTTAATGGGTATTACAATATATGGCAAAACATTTCGTATGCAGGTCCACGTCTTCGTATAGCCCCCATAATATTCGGTATTTTCACGATTTTTGCGACATTATTCACCGTAATTGTAACAAATTTCGTATTTAAAGATCGTAATTGGTACTACAGCTTATGAAAAAAAAATTTCGTATGCAGGTCCACATCTTCCTTCCTTCCCCATATAACGGTTTTCATTTAAGTCGTAGTTTTCCGATATTTTTTTTGAAAATTTATAAGTTCCTTTTAAATGGTGGAGGTTTAGATCTTAACTGCTTTTTTTCTTTTGTTGTAAGCCTAATGAAAACGGCCACCTACAACTTCAGTTATTTTTAGTCCCCACTCGCACGGTAGATTTAAGAAGGTAAAGTCACACAATCATATGTTCACAATTTTTTTTTTTCAAAATATTTCTCATTGTCAAAATGTATATTTATACTTCCATTGTACATACACAAATCATAGATGGGAACCTTATTTCTATGCATTTAAATTTGACAAGGTAAATTACAAAACATGCAGAGATGGGTATGTTTATTTGAAATGACTTTGCCTTCTTAATTTTACCATGCCCACTCGTTTAAACAATAACAATAATCTCACTAATATTGCATTTGGGACAGCAGAAAAGACTGTCATGGTAATGAGCACGACTTCACGTAAAAAAAAAAACTACAGCATTGTGGCATACTTACGGCCTATAGTGTATGTATAAAGTACAGTGCACCAAAGCTAAAGCCTTAAGCAAGCAATACATTCCAATAATGCGCGATACCGTATAATCTCCTGAAATACAGAAAACAAAAATCAAACCACAAATCCTGCACATCAGTATTTTGAGTCATCAATGATGCTGAAAAAGCAACAACAACAACACAAATATATCATTCTTACCTTCTATGAACTGTGTATCGGCATGGTCGAGAAAACTTCGACGCTCAATATAGCTACGAAATGCTGTTCCCAAGTCCATAAAGGCGACAAATGCTATCCAGCCTCGAAAGGCGTATAGCAGTTTACGCTCCATTTTTGTGTGGTAAGGCGTTTTGGCGGTTTTTGTTCGAACGGGAGGTCGGTGTTAAAATGTAACAGAAGAAGGTTGTAGGTTGTTGATCTTTAGTTGGCGGTGGTGACGACAGCAGTGGCGTCTAAATAGTTTTTGGCTTCAGCTAAAAACGTCGGGTATCACTTTTTACTGAAACAATTGCAAATGAATAAACGCGACCATTCGTTCGTTAATGCTTTCAGTAAATAACTACAAAGGTTCCTTGACTCTTCTTTTTCTCCTCTACTATTTGACGACGATGATGAAGATACTATAGGTATTACATTGGCACTTAATGCTGGTTGGTTGTGTGCTTCCCAATGTCTTTCTGTTGTGGTTGCTGTTTTCTCTCGTTCTCGAGTAAGTGATTTGGGCCTTATTTGGGTCAAATACTGCTACAGTTCACAAGTAGAATCTGTGTGAAAAACTGTTAACCTCTGCTGTACTATGGGACAAGGAAAAAGGTAAAGAAATAAAATTTTGAGAGATATTAGGATTGAAATGAAAATGCAAGAACGATTTTGAGATACATTTAATAATTGCAATAAAAATTAGGCTAATGTAATGTGCAATTCATGGCTAACATTAAAGAAGTAATCTCATTTGCCATATCGGTAATGACGGAACTGATTTCAAATAATTTATAATGTTATTTCATAACTATTTATGTAAAACTAGTGGCATATTTTTATAAAATTAAAAAATTAAGCCTTTAGACGAACGAGGAATCGTTCCATACAATCAACGAATGGAACGGTTCATCGTTGTTTATACCGATCCCCATACTATGGAGGGTATATTAACTTTGTCATTCCGTTTGTAACTTCTCGAAATACTCATATCAGACCCAACAAAGTATATATATTCTTGATCAGCGTCAAATTCTAAGTCGATTTAGCGATGTCCTTCTGTCTGCCTGTTGTAATCACGCTATCTTTCGAACGAATTGAGATAGAAGGCTAAAATTTTGCCAGTAGGCATGGACCATACAGGTCCACGTTTTCATATAGCCCTCATTTAACGGCACCTCCCGATATTCGGTATTTTAATAATTTTATCGACATTATTCACCGGAATTGTTTCAAATTGAATACTTAAAGTTTGAAATGGATACTACAGTCTAAGAAAGAAAATTGTCTGTGCATGTCCACGTCTTCGTATAGCTCCTATATAACGGTACCTCCCTATATTCGGTATTTTGATGATTTTAGCGACATTATTCACCGAAGAAGTTTCAAATTACGTATTTAGAGTTCGTAATGGGAACTACAGACTGTGACAGAAAATTGTCTATGCAGGTCCAGGTCTTTGTATAGGACCCATATATCAGTACCTCCCTATATTCGGTATTTTAACGATTTTAGGTACAATACTTACCGAAATTGTTTCAGATGTCGTATTTGAAGTTCGTAATGTATGCTACAGCCTGTGACCGAAAATTGTCTATGCAGGTCCAGGTCGTCACACAGATCCGATATAACGGTACCTCCCTATATAGGGTATTTTGATGATTTTAGCTACATTATTCAACGTTTATTTCAAGTTTGCCTATGTAGGTTTAGGTCGGCTTAGGTCGTATATACCCCAATATAACGGCTATATACGCTATTTTTAAGATTTTAACAGAATTTTTAACGGATTTTATTTTTTGAAAATTTCCAAATTCTTTCCAAATGGTGGAGGGTATTCATAGTTCGGGCCGACCAAACGTACAGCTTTTTAACTTGTTCACATTTAGATTGCTCTTGAATCTAAAAGTTTTTACTAGGAAAACCGATTTTTCTCTTTATGATATCGAACAAATTGCTAAACTAGTAGATTGAGAACAGATTTGAGAACAGAGCAATTTTTATACTTCTATTCCTTTGGCAAGCGGTACAAAATAGCATTGCTGTATAGTGCATGATATGACTTCAATAATTATTATATTAAAAAATATTTATTGGAGCATAGATATACCGGACCAAGTTTCACCAAATGATAAAATTCAGTTGAATATGAAGAAATCTATTCAATTTGGGCTGATATTATATACATGATGATATTACATATATGATAACCGTAGCATCGGATGAAGATGTATATCGAAGCTATATAAAAATCTGAACCTATCTCAATAAAATTTGGCTGATGTATTTTCGAGTAGTATCTGATAATGTTGTGGACTGTATATTACGCGTGTAAGAATCTTACACCAAATCAGGTGAAACATATATATGTGAGCTATAGCTATATTTGAATCGAATTTCTGAAAAATTTGAAGCACTTGCTTTTAGGCGGAATTCCGTCGGAAGTGCCAAAACTCAGTCCTTTTGGGCTAATATTGGCGATTTGGTTCACAAAAAAAACTGAAATCGGTTAAAGATATGTGTGTGTGCTATATCAAAATCTGAACCGATCTTAACCAAATGTTAAGCTCTTATTTCTGAGCTGTATCTGATATCTGGTACCAAAAATCATTGTTGTGAGGAACTGAGGAACGGATAAAACATATATATGGGAGCTATAGCTTACCTGAACCTATTTTCACCAAATTTGAAGTACAATATCATTTGGACTGATATTGACCATTCGGTGCACAATTAATAGACCGACGGGCTGACACGCCTAAATCGATTCAGAAAATGATTCTATGAAGATCCTCAAAAGTAACTATGGGTCTATATCGCTTCTTTCTCCATGTTTCAACAATAAATGCAAAAAAACATGATACTCTTACCACTATGTGGCATAGGGTATTAAAAGCAGTAAGTTCGGCCAGGTCAATATTTGAATACTATCCACCTTCCAAATGGTGGAATTTGCAAATGTTAAAAAAGACCGTTGAAAAATACTGCTAAAATCATAAAAATACCGAATATAAGGATTTAAGGTTATATTAGAATATGTAGGCAGACGTGGACATATATGTGCAATTTTTGTCAAACTTAAGACAATTTCGCTAAAACACAATTTACACAATTTAAATCAAAATTTTCGCTAAAATCATCAAAATACGCAATATAAGGAGGAACCGTTATATGGGGCTATAAAAGACCTGGTTCTGCATATGCAATTTTCAGTCATGGGCTGTAGCATCCATTAGAAACTTCAAATACAAAGTTTGAAACAATTCCTGAATAAAGGGAGGTACCGTCATATGCGGATCATACCAAAACATAGATCTATATTGACAAACATTCTATTGGAAAACATTCTGCCAATTTACAGCATATTCGTGTTAAAATTGTGACTAAGACACCCAAAAAAATCTGTCGGTACAGTTATATGGGGCTATATAGGCCATTTTTTTAACCTACTACATTTCATTCGACACCTAGAGTGACTTCCAAAGACGGACGGACATGGCTAAATAGACATAGAAGTTTATGCTGATCAAGAATATATATACTTTGTGGGGTCTAAAATTTATATTTCAAGGCGTTACAAACGAAACGACGAACTTAATAAATCCTCTATGCTATGGTGGAGACTAAGACTAAGTCAACCTAAAACTCCTTTGTTTTTTTTAGGAAGAAGCCAGCAGAGAATGAAAACTTAAATTTAACATGACCTACGTGACTTCACTTTCCGCACAGCTCAGCCCAGTGCTCCGAACCACTCTATGGTGACACAATAAAGCCTGCAAATACTTCTTTTTGTTAAACTTCCGGTTTCCTGTGTTCTGATTTCGGGAATAACGGTAGTGTAGGTGTTTTTGTTTAAATTTTTTCTACTCTATTGAAGTTACAAACTCGGCTAATATATGGCTGTTTTCATTGTATTGGTTGGCAAACTTTGTTGATTGACTTTTGTTTTCATGTTGTTGTCACAAAACGACATAAAGCGATTAAAAATGTGTACTTATTCCGAAATACACGCGATTTGATGTTTGTTTTTATCACACTCCACATCAAAGAGACAGACGTGCAGACACATAGACATTCAGGTAGTCGAGCTAAGGGATATGACTTAAAAAATATGGGCCAACATATAAATCACTGAGAATAAATAATAATAATAGAAATATGTACGTTTGTATGTGTTTGTTTGTTGGAGCCCCACACTTGGGTCATTAATAGAATTCTTCGTTGTTGTTATATTTATTTTTCTGGTTATTTTTTATTAGCTTTGTTGTTGCAATATTTTGTTGTTATAGATAAAAAATATTTTCGCTGTTATAAATTATATTTGGGTTAAGTTTCACTTCACTTTGATTGTCGTCCTTTTTTGGTTGATAATGATGTTGTTGCTGTTTTCGATTTGACCAAGAATACCAATACTTTTTATTTCATTCTTAGCAAAATTTTTCCGCGTTTGGCTAGACCAACCGTCTGTTTATGGTTGACAAAAAATGAATGCTGAATATATTCTATGCTCGTTTGGTTAGAATAGCAGCAGCACTCGGCAGAGAGCGAGCATGAGGGACCAACCCCATAGCTTAATAAGAATGCATTGAGTTTATTGCTAAGTTTACCGGCATGTCATGCGCATTATCGAAAAAAATGCTGACCCTTTATTCTCTATCATGCGAGGGTATGAATGGAAGCAACTTTCACATTGTAAGAACAATCATATCAAATTTATTGTTGAGATTTAATATTTTCACATATTGTGCTTTATTTTTAATTGAATTTAATTTTTAATTTAATATGTGTAAATAGACAATAAAATATGATACTATTGGTCTGCTCAAGAATTGCAAGAACGTAAAAGTTTTCATTACGATAACCGATTTTCCTTCATGATATAGCGAAAAATGGCAAAACTAGTAGATTCTGACTGGACCAGACAGTTAATCTTACTCATGGTACAATGAATACAAGGTAGACTAACTTTGAAAAAATTGCAAGTATAGAGGTCTACCTGTTTGGCTTGTAATGTCAGAATTACTATCAAAACAATAAAAAAGCTAACAACTTGTTGCATTGATTTTGAATAAATAATTTAAAACCGCGAAAACTGAATGAAAGGTCAAATTTTCTTTTCAAAATCATGTTCTATACATCTCTTATGGTTTATTTCGCGACAAAAAGTGGAGATTTTGTCGATACGTCGCAATAAGCATTTTGAAAACACCCGAATTTAAATGTTTTCTGAACAAATTATTTTATTATTGAAAATAATACACACACATAAACAAATGAAGTTGACATATTAAGCCAGAAAAATAAAAAAAATTTAAATCATATGGTAGTTCTGCCCTACCTTGAATTCATTGTACCATGATCTTACTTATGTGCCCCTATTACTGTAGTCAAACATCGAAATGAAATCAATGTCAGCACATAAAACACATACCAAAATCCACTTTTGAAGAATTTCCGTCGTTGACTTGACCTACATATATTTAACTAGGAAGTGCCAGCTACTTCGTCAGCGGAAATTCCACCTTAGATTCGTTACAACAGATTCGTGCTAAGCCTATCTCGTTCTCAAAATGCACAGTTCGACAGAAAATTTTAATCAAAAATTCCATGCTAATACTAGTGTCAAATTCGATATGACCATTTTTGAAATTAAAATATTTTATTGAAAAATTAATTGTTTTGTTTACATTTTTATACAGTTAACTCTGACACTTGCATTACGTACAAAACATGGTAGAAGAATACAGGTAGTCGCTTCGACATAGCTGCTGGGACAATGAACTGTCAAACCGATTTTGGAATTGAAAATGTTGAATGAAAAATTATTAAAATTTGTAAAAATTGTTGAGAAATGCATATTGTTACAACCTCCGATTTGCATCGTATAAGAAAATATATAAAAATGTACTTATTTTTGACAAAACAATTTTAAAATATTGACATATCAATGTTCGCAAGCGTTGATGCATCTACCTATATTCTTCTACCATGGTACAAAACCAAAATTGTATGTGGTTGTTGTTACGTTTGTTCGCAACAACACTTGCTGTTACCTGTATTATTCTACCACGCAAAACTTCATATATCGCACTAAATTTTCAGACTTTGAAGATTTTACATACTATTAATGTTTACTGGGGAGGATATTTGTAAAACCATTGCACAGCGGATACGGTTTTTCTGTCCACCACGCCTCCATATGAAAATCCTAGAAACTAACATTGACTTCAATATCAAATTTCAAAATTTTAGCTCTATCCCTTCACCCAATACCAAATTTTGTATCTCAACCCTACCCACCAGCAGTGATCCCAATATCAACTTTTCAAATTCGGTGCATCCAAAACGGAAATGCACCAAACTCAGTACCATTTAGTACAGTTCATACACTTAGTATACACTTCCATAAACTCCATTTCCAAGAATTGATACTCATACTAAATTTAATGGCTTTCCACTATACGTTCACACAATTTGAAATGGTACCAATTTTAGTACATTTCCTTTCCAAAATACCAAAGTTAACACCATTTAGTACTTTTTATTACATATTTCCAAATCCCCCGCTATGGATCAACCAAACCGCACAAAGATGATCCTGACGCCAAATTTTGGATTTCCAAGTCAATCCCTTACACAGATAACAAATTTAGTACTGTTTTCAAAACCACCCCCAAATCTCAATCCTACACACGAAAAGTGTTCCATATGCAAAATTTCAGATTTCAAGCAGTATCCGTTTACGCAATATCCAATTTAGTACCATTTAGTTACTTTTGTAAGCTTGCTGAACGCATTTCCAAAACCAACATTTAAAATTTCCAGATCTATCCGTGAAGCTAAACCACCTACTTATAACAACACTACTTCCCAAACTTTATTTGTATACCAAATGTCAAGATTTTAGCTGTATCCGTTCACAAAATACCAAAAGGTACGAAGTGTTGTGTTTTTTAGTACTTTTAATCTCACCCCAATTAAATTAAAAACAGTGCAGTTGCAGAGCGTTTAATATTTTCCAAAGCTTTGACGTTTAGAAGTACACGTTACAAAAGTATAAAAATATATAATAATAAATAAAAATCATATATTTAGAAACATTTGCTTCTTGACGAGGATTTACTTCGATCATTTCGTGTATTATCACTTTCATCGCATCCCATTACAGTTTCATCAACACTAACATCATCGTCTGGTATTTCCTCATCACTGTCATGACTGGTGCCCGTACTCATCGAAACAGACTACAATAATGTTCAAAAAATACAATACGACATTTAAACAATATAATAATACATAATCGATGTATTTGAGCTACATACCGGTGTTACTAAATCATCGCCATGTATGTCTTTATTTTTCAGATTGCCCATTGTAAATACTGAGGCACACTTATTGGCCGTTAATAGGGCTTTAACACGAAAAACATAATTTTCCACAGTCTCTCGTAAAAATGGTATTTGACTGACAATTGCCGTATTTTTAATGGCCTAATCAAGAAGAAATATTGAGTAAAGATTATTTTGCTGGAAATAAATAAATAAAACCTTACTTTAGAGTGGCAACATAAATGGTGTAAATATCTGGTAGTTGTCTGCATTGTTTTTATCAATTCACATACACGATCGGGATTTTGTCTTAAATACTTCTCAAACACAGGCAGGCCATGTTGAAGAACAAGTTTTAAGTATAAATGGGAATACTGAAAAATAAAAAATTAATAGTCTTACACAAATTATTATTAAAAAAAAAAAAAAAAAAAAAAAAAACAAGAAAATACCTTTACGAATATCTGAAAATTTCTAGGTATATCCAAACCTTGTACTATTTCCAATAGCATATTGAGTAACTTGCAACTAGATTCCCATAACTCAAGTTTGTCATTTGATTTCAAGGCATTGCTGGTAATCTTGTCATTTATTGCGGTAATAAGAATTTCACATAAACCACGAAAAAACAAAGGAAAATTAGCCCTGGAATGAAGGAAATTACTGTCAATATTAATATTTCTTTGAATACACTAACTAAATACTTCTTAAAATTTGGAAAAGATTTTAGGGATGTATCCTTGCCGCTCAAGTGTTTTGATTCATCACTGACAGCACGTAATATTTCACGTTGCCTCTTAAAATCGGAATCACGTAGGAAACCTTTGACCAACTCATCTAAATATACATTACACTGCGCACCCTTTTCCAAAAGACCTTCATAGTTAAACCACTTGCGACACAATAAAGTGCGACATAATGAACCTAAAAACAAATATATTTAAAATTGACCGAAGTTATATATTTTAATACAAAAAAATAAAATATATTTCCTTACGTATTTCATGCAATTGTCTCTCTTTGGCCTCCTTGTTGGAGAGAAAATTTAGATTTATCATCAATTGATATAGATAAACAGCCGATTTTAAATCTACCACTGAAGTTTCATAGCTAATGAAAATTGAAAAAACTTCCGCAGTTATAATGCCAACCGATTTGGTTTTTAAACTTTGGGCCTTTTTGCGTTCCAAACATACCAAAAGAGATTCTAAGTGAAAGAAGAGGAATCAGAAACAATCAATTAGGAATGTAATATAATTATACCTTTTAATTTGTTTATCCTTTGTTCACTAACAAACCACTCGGACCACGAGAAATATGCCACCAGCAATCGTAAACACAAACCAAAGCAAACTTTTAATAAATTAAACTCTTCTGTGAATAAATCAGCATGACTATACACTCGCTGGACATCTTCCAACTTTAAATTTATGGCATCGGATAGCTGTAAAACATACATTAGTTTTATAATTGAAAACATACTTCTCAAAAACCGTTTGAAGTAAAATGTGTCATCATAACTTACAACTTTCATGTCATTGTTAACAATATAGATAAATTCCGAAAGATCGCACATAAAATGACCGGGTTTGGCTATATACTGTAGGGATTGTTCAGATTGGAATTTTTGGATACCAACTACCGATTCTAATTTGCTAACAATGTCTGTGAGAATAAATCTTAACTCTAACAGACCCATCTCCGTTCCTAAACATTCCACTGGCAAAGGATATTTAATATTAAATTTTTCTTTCAATACCAATATTATGTTTGTATCCATTTGTCTGCAAAGAAAAATTATAAACATCAAGAAAAAAATGCATAGGAAAATTTTCAAATACCTGTACATTTCCTTGGGACCATATAGATTTTCAAAATTATTCTTGAAGGATGTCTTATTTTTACTGGACCCCGCCAGTTTGCTGGTTATATCAGCTGGTCGAGATGTTGTGTCATTAATATTTGTTTCATCCAAATTCATTGTTTCATTATCCACAATTTTAGTTTTATTCGTAGCCTTTTTATTGCCAGAACCTGTTGCCGCAGGGCGACCTCTGCCTGGGGCACCACTCACTAGTTTATTGCTACAATTTAAACTATCACTTATAAATTGGCATTGTGGAGGTATATAGCCTCGAGGAGCTTTTGCCAATAATTGTCTTATTTTATCTTCAATACTAATAAGATCAGCCAATCGTTGTAGAACCTTTTTTCGTATCATTTCTTCACGTTGCGTTGCAAATGAGCTAACAGTTTCACGTATCCAGTTGACACAGTGGAAATATATATCAAGAATCTTTTTTTGCATTGTTTCATCGTAATCATAGAAAATTGCATCCAAATTGGAGTCATCAAAGAAACTGGGTAATATAATGGCACAACCTAACAGGGCATTTATAATCTCTAAACTTCCCTCATAGCGTTGCATATGTAAAACACGTACCAAATTGAAAAGTGGTGACAGTACAAGGATGGACGAAATTGCTCTAAAAACTGGGGTATAGATTATAGTTAAAAGTAATTATATGTATAACTTACTCGTTGCTGGGCTTCAAAACTAATTCGGCAATATTTATGGCAATTTGTGGCAATTCACTCTCTTCCGTATTCGCATCTAATGGCGTGTTTATACATTTCATATAAACCAAACTGATGCCACTTTTAAATGAAATTAAATTAAAAATTGACTGCAAAAATTTTTATTTATGTTCTTACTGTATGGTTTCAGGATTGTGTTCAGCTACAAAACTATTTTGAAAATAATACGTCATTAGTTCACACAGCCATATGACAAATGGTATGTCTAAAAGTAAACCATTTGCACGATCATCTCCGCCTGCGGAGCATACATTTGCCAATTCATCATAGAATAAAGCCAAACATTCTGGTGAATTCATGGTTGACGATTGAATTCGAACTATATAAGAGAATATTACAAAACAAAACATTTGAAAAAGTTTTTTTTTTTTTTTTAATTTGAAATATATCTATCTATCTACCCATATAATTTGCGGCAATTTTTCCTCTACCATCCGGTAGATCACTAACAGTATTAAATGTTGTTTCAAAATCTTCAGCCTGTATGGCAGATTCTTCAACACGTGCAATGCAGTCGATTAATTGTACAGCACTTATAATACCTTGCTTTTTAACTCTAAAATTAAACATTTTTTTAAGTAAAATAAAAAATAATTCTTACAAAATCTACTTACGAATTATTACGATTAATTATTTGTTTTTTTATTAACATATCAATTTGGTCTTGCAAAGTCGTACATTCATCCAATGTAGGTGCTGGAAAGGCTATAGACGATAATAATTCCATAACAATGCGAGTTTGGGACAAAGACATTTCATGGATGTGATCTAAAAATGGCTGCATATTGAGAAAATGAAACTTGAATATAGCTCGTGCAATAATAATGGAATTGCTTACCAATAATAACATGCCCCAATTATGTATAATTCTAGGATATAATTGCCATAGATCGCGTAACATTCTAAGGGCGAAGTTGGTAGTATTTTGATTTGATTTTTCACATGTTAATTCCAATAACTTTTTCAATATTAGTTTTTGAACTGATTCTGAAATATCAAAAAATGACCTAGGAACAAGTTTAAGTTATGATATGTACTATAAATCCTTTTGATTTTAATTCTGTTTTCAACTTACCCACAAGATATCCTGGCAAAATCAACAACAGATTTATGTTTATCTCGGAGAAAACCATTTATTATTTGCATCAAAATATGCCAGTGATATTCCAATACTGGAGCATACCTATTACGTATATCTTGAACCACAGATGTAGATAAATGACGGACATGGCGACGTAACTTAGAGGGAAAATTATTATAATTTGTTGTTTTGTGGAGAAAGAAAATATTTTCAACGCGAACTCCTGAGATACTTACAATATTTTCAATATATAATGAGTTGTCTTCTCTTATGTGTATCAATAACAAAATAATAACAAAATCGATTGCCCTGCAAGAATGTAAATGTAAAGAAAGTCCTAAAGTCGGGCGGGGCCGATTTTATGATACCCTACACCACTTTGCTAATTTAGTTGAGCTCCATAAAACAATAAAACGTTTTTTTTATAATTATAATTTAAAATTCAAAGGACTAAATATGCCGAAGCATTTGTATCTTTTAAATTCGGACTTGTATTGCCCATTTGGTGCAAAATTAAGTTGAAATCGGATAAAGATATATATGGGAGCTATATCCAAATCTGAACCGACCCGATACAATTTGGCAAAGATATTTCTGAGCTGTATTTGATATATTTCCATGAATATCGTAGTTACGGAGTGCATATTACGGCTGTGGGTAACAAATACAACAAATCGGATGAATAATATATATGGGAGCTATAGCTATATCTGAACCGATCTTCACCAAATTTGGCATACTACCTTCTAGACTTAATTCAATCGTATGTGCCAAATTCCATCCCATTTGGCCAAATATTAAACGTTTGGTGCACAATAAAAGGTAAATCGGACGAAGTTATATATGGGAGCTATATCCAAATCTGCACCGATCTCGATAAAATTTAGCAAAGGTATTTCTGAGCTGTATTTGATATATTTTCCCTGAATAACGATGTTACAGAGTGCATATTACGGCTGTGGGTAACAAATACAACAAATCGGATGAACCATATATATGGGAGCTATAGCTATATCTGAACCGATCTTCACAAAATTTGGCATACCACCTTCTATACTCAATTCGGTCGTATGTGCCAAATCCCATCCCATTTGGGCAAATATTAGATGTTTGGTGCACATTAAAAGGTAAATCGGACGAAGTTACGAAGGACGAATATGGGAGCTATATCCAAGTCTGAACCGATCTCGATAAAATTAAGCAAATGTTTTTCTGAGCTGCATTTGATATATTTACCCAAATATTGTTGTTACAGAGGGCATATTACGGCTGCGAAGGACAAAAATAACAAATCGGATGAACAATATATATGGGAGCTATAGCTATATCTGAACCGATTTCGATCAAATTTGTCATATTTATTTTCAGGCCTAATTTGGTTGTATGTGCAAAATTCCACACTATTCGGGCTGATAATACACGTTTGGTGCACAATAAATATATATGGGAGCTATATCTAAATTTTTACGGATTATCTCCAATTCCAATAGGGTTCGTCCTTGGGCAAACAAATGTTGTTTGGAAAATTTCATCTCAATCGGATAATAAATGCGACCTGCATTTTGTTCACAAGAATACATGGACAGACGGACGGACTGACACGTATAAATCAACTCAGAAAGTGATTCTATGCAGATCATCAAAAGGAACTATTTGTCTATCTCGTTTCCTTTTGCCTGTTACAAACAAATGCACAAAGACATAATACCCTGACCACCTTGTGGTGTAGGGTATAATATCTCTACTCAGATATACCAATTTTATACTTGCTTGAAATTTGATGATTTTGTGGAAGCTATAGTTTTTTGCCATATTGAATAGAATTTTTTGGAACGCGTAAATCCCTGTTCTATATAACTGAACAATTCCAATTGCAATTGTTTATCTTTGGCCAATGTTGTTGAATCGTTCTCATTCCAATTGAGAATTTCACGTAATGTACTGACCAGCTGTAGATATTTAAAAAATAATCACAAGCTTTTTTCTTGTATTTTCAATTTGTAGCTTACCTCTTTCATATTATCCTCATTGTCTTCTGCAAGTATTTTCAATAGAAATTTCACAAGAAGTGGAAGTGTCTATATGATAAAAAAAATAGGAATTTTTGCTTGTAAATGTTTTATTATCTCTAATAAGCAAAAATTAAAGTGGCATATTACCGATTAATCCTAATCTACATTGCCTTGCATGCAAAATAGTTCAATTTAAGAAAGATAAATGTGAGAGTTCGTTTTAGAAAAAACTAGTTTTATTACTTACCTTTTTTGGACAATGCCCATTTTTTATAAACTCCAAAATCTTTGCCCTTAATATTCCTTGTACATTTGAGGATAGATTTAAATTGATCAAAGTCTGAATATTAACAGTTTTAAACAGTTCCAAACTATTTGCCATATTATCACTAAAATACATGTAAAAGATATTTCGCAATGGTATAACCAAAAAATAACTGTTTCTTATAAGGAAGGCTTCCAAATACTCACATCAATAACAGGGCAAACTCGTCGTGTTTAGTGGGTGCTAATATTATTTCTGCATTTGAAACAATATCCCATTTTGATTGGTCCAAGGCCTTTTCAAATATTTTCTTAATGCGATTGTAAATTATGTCGCTATGAGTGCACGCAACATGTTGCAGTTGAGCCAACATGAGTGGTAACAATGGAACATTTATGGTCGAAGTAAAAGTAGGTTTTTCAATCGCAGTTTTCTCGATTTTGTCCAATAGTAAATCCAGTACACGATCGCGTAGAGATTCAATCATAAAAAAATTTACTATCATACTGTGCTGGGATTGATAAACACTATCCTCCCCCGGTATACTTATAGTACATCCTGTCAACAACTTCAATCCAAATTTTGGCCATGAATCACGAAGACCATTTCTAAACATTTCATAGTTGTCTTTAAAATTCTGATTTCTATCCAGTAAATCGCGTAATCTACTGACAAAGGCTACATGATCACAAGCTGTAATAAAGGAATTTATTAAAAAATGGAGAGCATGATCAAAAGTTTCAACTTACACAAAACAAAATTCTCTCCCTCATCCAATTGTACGCCGGCTTTCATAAGGACCAGTTCGAAATATGTATTTGGTGGTCTCTGTGAACTGTTCAAGCGAGACTGTGTCCTTCCCAATGTAGCTGCAATAGTGCTCCTTTGTGACAAATATCTTTGAGTGGGCTCTTGTGATGCGGGAATATTCTCTTCGCTGCTGTACACTTCTTCGACATTTTGAACTTCACAATCATTGGTTTTATCATTTTCATTTTGTATGCGCTTGAAAGTAAACAAACAATTCATAAAATATTTCACAATTTCGCGCCTACATTCACAGGAAGACTTACTGGTATTTTAATTGTGGAGTTCTCGTCAATTGTATTAAGGGCTCGTTTGCCATCATTCGAATCTGTACTCTTGGTCCTAGTGGATTTTCCAAATTTCCGGTTTCTGTACATATTTAATACATCAGAAATAAACCATACAAATCAAATCAAAGCGGGAAAACCCATGGATTTTCTTGTGGATCTGCGAATGAGAGCGTGGGAAACCAAAATGAAAGACGTCCCGAACGAATCAAATAAGAAAGGCAAAAAGGAAAGCCGATAAGAAAATAAAGAGAAAGCAAAATCACCGAAGTACCTCTTTTGTTTACGAATGAGATATGAGGAAAATACAATCAGCTGGAAACATAAGTAAACGTGGAACTGGTTGAGTCAAAAATATAATATCGTAGCTTCACTGCAATCGAAACGGCGTAATGAAATAGTTCTTGTGCTTAAAGATACGTTTACATTGAAGAAATTTATATGTATATAAATATGCAACAAGTTTGTTTTCACATTTTCCTCATTTTAAAATGGTCTATATAGCTCGAAAAATGAATGAAATGCCTGTATTTTCTCTCATTAACATGACCCAAACTATTCAATCTTTCAATTCAATCTTTAGTATAAGAAAACATATAAAAATCCGCTTTTATTTGAAAAAACATTTAAATTTTTTTGACATATCAATGCTCCCAAGCATGGCAGAAGAATATAGGTAGATGCATCAACGCTTGGGAGCATTGATATGTCAAAAAAAATTAAATGTTTTTTCAAATATAAGTAGATTTTCATATACTTTCATATACTACGTCATTCGGAGGCTATTATAAGTCGTGTTTTTCAACAATTTTTACAAATTTAAATAATTTTTCATTTAACATTTTCAATTCTAAAATTGGTTTGACAGTTCATTGTCCAAGCAGCTGTGTCGACGCATCTACCTATATTCTTCTACCATGGCTCCCAAGCGTTGATGCATCTACCTGTATTCTTCTGCCATGGTAGGGCTATGATACCATATGATTTTAATTTTTTTATTTTCTTGGCTAAATATGTCATCTTTATTTGTTTATGTATGTGTTTTCTTTTCAATAACAAAAAATTCTTCAGAAAATAATCAAATTCGGGTGTTTTCAAAATGTTTATTTCAGCGTATGCATCGACAAAATCTAGAGTTTTTGTAGTGAAATAATCTTTATGAGATATATAGAACCTGATTTTGAAAAGAAGTGTTGACCTTTTGTCGATGCATACGTTGAAATAAACATTTTGAAAACACCCGAATTTGAATGTTTTCTGAACAATTTTATTGTTATTGAAAAGAAAATACATACATAAACAAATAAAAATGACATATTAAGCCAAGAAAATAAAAAAATTTAAATCATATGGTTTCATAGCCCTACCTTGATATCATTGTACCATGGGTATACCCTTTTTTGATATAAAATTTCTCTGCAGGGCAAAGTGAACATATTTTTTGCCTAATAATAGAAAAAAATCGCCCTTGTACTTAACAAAACGCCAAAGGCGATGGTTCGAAAACTTTTTTTGCAGTAAAGAAATAACGACACCGCATTAGATATTACTTTATGTATGTATGCTGTTTGGTTTCAACTTGAGAGGGATGTTGCATTTTCCAGGATTTTCCAGTGATTGCTTGAAATGTTTATAGAATAGGACCAACAGCTAACATTTATACATTTAAAGGAATGATGTGAAAACATTAAAATTAAATATTTTAAGAACTATTTTTTAAGAACTATACCCATGGTACAATGATATCAAGGTAGGGCATTGATACCATATGATTTTAATTTTTTTATTTTCTTGCCTTAATATGTCATCTTTATTTGTTTATGTATGTGTTTTCTTTTAAATAACAAAAAAATTGTTCAGAAAATATTCAAATTCGGGTGTTTTCAAAATGTTTATTTCAACGTATGCATCGACAAAATCTAGAGTTTTTGTAGCGAAATAATCCTTAAGAGATATATAGTATATATATAGTATATATTTTGAAAAAAGTGTTGACCTTTAATTCAGTTATCGCGTTTTCAATTATTTATTCAAAATAAATGCAACAAGTTGTTTGCTTTTTTATTGTTTTGATACTAATTCTGACATTACAAGCCAAACAGTTAGACCTCTATACTTGCAATTTTTTAAAAGTTGTACCATGGGTATACCCTTTTTTGATATAAAATTTCTCTGCAGGGCAAAGTGAACATATTTTTTGCTCAAATAATAGAAAAAAATCGCCCTTGTACTTAACAAAACGCCAAAGGCGATGGTTCGAAAACTTTTTTTGCAGTAAAGAAATAACGACACCGCATTAGATATTACTTTATGTATGTATGCTGTTTGGTTTCAACTTGAGAGGGATGTTGCCTTTTCCAGGATTTTCCAGTGATTGCTTGAAATGTTTATAGAATAGGACCAACAGCTAACATTTATACATTTAAAGGAATGATGTGAAAACATTAAAATTAAATATTTTAAGAACTATTTTTCTGCATTTTCAATTTAATAATCCAAATTTTAATTGTTGAAATTAAAATAATTTATTGAAAATTAATTATTTTGTTTACATTTTTGGACACATAACTCTGACACTTGTATTACGTACAAAAACAAATTTGTATGTGGTTGTTGTTACGATTGTTGTACAACAACACTTGCTGTTACCTGTATTTTTCTATCATGTACTGTACCATGCATATATGCGTTTATTTTAACTATATGAAAATTGTTGAGAAAATATTGAAATTCAGTTTTGATAAAAATTCGTAGTACAACGTATATATGGACCATGGTATAATTATTTCAGGTAGAAGCGATTCCCAGCTGCTCTGATTCTATAGTAATACTATAACAATTCGCTATTAATAATCAATTCGCCAGCGATGACTTAAGCCAGTCAAAGAAAGCTTTTTATGTACTTCTACCTTTACTTCATTGTTATGGAAATTTAAATTTCTTTTTCTACATTTGATACATATTAATGCCATGTTTACGTTAAAACTTTTTGCAGGGTTAACCTACTTCAAGAGGATTTATTTGAAGTATAAGTAATGGATATGACAATTTTAATCCATATCCAGTGGGTTAACCCATTTATATGTAAACGTACTGTAAGAACCCTTAATACGATCATAGAACAATACGCTCTAACCTCTTCTGTATTTAATTTATATTTGTAGGATCCATTACAAATAAACTGCATTTTTGGAGCCAGGTTTTCGTCATGGCCACCAGTGGATCACAGATATGAGCATTTTCATTCATAATTTTATAAATAATTTTGTTGTTAAATTCGTTCCGTTTTTCTTTCTGTCACACAATTGAAAAAAAGTATTAAATGTGAAATTTCGATGTTCTGAATCAACCTGTAGTCTCGGGGAAAATCGATGTTATCGATAATTAGAAACGTTGCTAACTTCACGAAAGTCAAAAACTCGTCCATTTCGTCTTTAACTGTATCACTGGCTAGAAGAACTCTGGTTCAGCGCTGCTCAAAATAAACAAAGATTTGAATACCTCGACCAGATTTCTACATAAAATGGTAATTATCAATCTCAAAAAAACCAAATTAAATTAAACATGAAACATATTTGTGAGTAAATATGATTATTTTCTGTTTATTGATACACGTGTCCCCTAAAAGATAACCTAACCTCACTTTCTATTCTGTAGGCTGCTGCTGGCAAAGATATTGAGAAACCCCAAGGTGCTGATTCCTCCTCGGTTCACCGCATCCGTATCACTTTGACCTCCAGGAATGTACGTTCCTTGGAAAATGTGTGCCGTGATTTGATCAATGGCGCCAAGAACCAAAACTTGCGTGTCAAGGTATGTTGCGTCCATTGTAGTTAGTAGTTTATTGGGTAGAACATGCATTTACCTGGAGGTTTTGTTTCTTTGAAAAACTTAATCTAGTCATATTAAATGCTATAGTAATTTTTACTTGAATTGGACATTAATTCCAACTTATCTTTCACGAATTGGGAGTATTTTATGATTCAAGTTATAACTACAAATTCTTCATTTTTTCATCAAAAGGTATTGTTGGTAATATATTAAAATGTTTTTATTTTTAGGGTCCCGTACGCATGCCAACCAAAACTTTGCGCATCACCACGCGTAAGACTCCTTGTGGTGAAGGTTCCAAGACTTGGGATCGTTTCCAGGTAGGTTATCATCTTACATATCAAATGCATGCTTAATACTTGCATTTGGCAAATCTGATATCGGCTTTAGTGTGGAAGTTCTTAGAATTTTCTGATTATCTTCGGCCAGTATCTATGCGATTTGCTTAGATCAAACGAACTCTCATAGTCCCTTTGGTAGATTATCAACTTCCTTATGGCTCTCCGAGTTTTACAAAAAAATAAAATAAATCATTTTAAAATTGTATTTGAAGAGTGATGATTGTAAATATAAATTCTCGTTTATTTTTAGATGAGAATCCACAAGCGCATCATCGATTTGCATTCTCCCTCTGAGATCGTTAAGAAGATCACCTCCATTAACATTGAACCTGGCGTAGAAGTTGAGGTCACAATTGCCAACTAAATACACTTTACATCGGTATAGATGTATATGATACAAGATAATTCTTTTTAATAAAAGATGACTAAACTGTAAAAATTGGTTTCATTAACAAAGGCTATATTGTTAGCCGATATAACGAGCATTCATTTACTAGAAAATTCCTAGATGTAATAAGGGTAAGGGTCATAATCAATGGTAATTTTAGAATCAATGTATTTATACATTCATAATTAGCTTAGAGTTAAAGTTCTTTAGATCTTCAGAGATGTCGGTTGGTCAAGTTCGAAGACAATGTTCTCCATTTGTGTAAAAAATAACTGAAAACAATGAGTACATGTTTCACTTTATTCTAATACAAGAAAATGCCCGATACATCGTATGTAGAGGATTTGGAATGTGAAAAGTATTAAATAAAAGACCACCCTTTCAACTCACAAGTTAAATCACTAATTTAAATACACATCGAAAATAGTTGCTGTGCATATGATAAATTCATACGTATATACAAAATGGTACTTTTCTGTCTAATAAATTTCTAAAAATGTTTGCATAGATTTTGTAGCTTTATTTTTCATCATTTGTAAAATATGACTAAATTATACATCTTTCGCAGTGATTAACGAAATTCATAATTCTTTTCCTACTCTATATATGTTTTCCTACAATCTATAAATTACTTAGTAGAGCTCTTAAACTTTCCAAAACCATCTACTCATGTCAACCCTATTTACACGAATTGATTCTCACACTAAATTTCATGTCACATAATTTTAAATAGTACCAAATATGCATTTTAGTATTTATGAATATGTTTTGTTTGAATTTCGAAAAACTTTTTACTTTGTCCAGCATACATAACATTAAAAACTCTCACTCAAAATTTAAGATTTCCTGCGTTATTCCTTCTCCAAATACTAAAGTTAGTACTTTTTTGTATTTTTCGTGCTTTTTAGTACGTATTTCCAGGGGATTCGTATCAACCAACCCGCACAAAAGTTCATTATAATGCGAAATTTTAGACTTCAAACTCAATCCCTTACCCGAAAAACAAATTTAGAACCATTCAGTACTTTTTAGTATGTATTACCAAAACAATATCCAAATTTCAACCATACACACAAACAGTGATCCTAATGCCAAATTTAAGATTTCTAGCGGTATCCATTCGAGCAATACCAAATTTAGTACCATTCGGTGTCTTTCGTGCACAAAAGTACGAATTTCCAAAACTATGTACCTGAATTCCTCAATCCTACAATGTAATAGAAATCTTATTTTCAAGTTTCAGGATCTCAACTCTATTGGTTCTCCAAAAATTTAAATTGTACCAGTTTAAGTACAATTTGGTACATATAAGTACGAATTTCCAAAACTACATACAAAAAGATTTATCAAATTTGATATAAATATATATTAGACCGATTTATGCCAAAACGAATTGAAGTATTTTTATGGCATACCTGATTTTTTAGTATGGATAACCGTTGTAATGTTTATCTTACGTTGATTTTACGATTACCCGAAAACAAAAAATGACCAAAATTGAAATTGAATTATAATTGATATTATTTAATTATATGAATATACATAAATAAAAAACCATTGAATAAATAGAAAAAACTATCAAAATAAGTAGAAATACTTTTATATACGGGTAAAATGTAAACTATATAAACCTCGATATTTTAACAAAATATTTGCATTGGAATGTGTACATTAAACATCATAATACATATATTTGTGCAATCAGTAATAATCGGGAACAGGAGCACAAGCTATTTTAACAAAATCCGTATAACGTACCATGCTGTTGTTACCAACATTGGCTTCACGGAAAATGTTATCAACCTAGAAAAATAAAAATTAATTAGTATCCTTAGCGATGTAACTTATCACTTACCTCTCTAACCGACAACCCTTCGCCCCATGTTTGTAACAAATTACGCAATTGACGAGCTGGAATTAAACCAGTATTGTGTGTATCTGAAGCTTTGAAGGCAGCTATTACTTCATCGGGCAGATTCTCAACTTTTGTGTGTTGGTGCATAATTTCCAAGAAATCGGCAAAACTCATTTTACCATTTTTCTTCTTCAAATAACCCACCAACTCTTGTATGGTCGGGGATAGGCCCAATGATCTCATAATAACGGTCAACTCATCTAAGGTCGTAATCTGACCGGAACGAGCAAACAAATAAAAACATTCACGGAACTCTAAAAGAAAATCAGACAGATTAGTTCAACTGTGAAATGTATACAAGTGCAATACAAAAACTAAACAGGTGGTTGAGCAATGACATGTTAACTTTCTCCACGCACCAATTGTTCATATTTGGTATGCATGCTATCACTGCGATAAAAAATCTATTTATGTTCTCTAAAACTCACCATCAATATCTTGTTCCTTGAAGTAGCGAGCCTAAAACAAAATAAAAAAACAATTTTTTTACGATAACATTTATCTGTAGGAACATTTAGCAATGATTTCATCAACAAAATTGATACGAATCTAATATGTATAAATAGCCGTTTGTTTTCTTACCATTATCTTATTGTAATAAATAAAATGGGTTAAAAAAGAAGTAAAATGAATGAAGACCAACTTATATTTTTTTAAAAAATGAAAGAAAATAAAATTAAATATAGTCGATATAGGTTTCCAACCAAATGTGTCCAATCCTATTCACTTGATCTATCTTCTTGTACCTGCGTGAAGTTAGCAACGTTGCTAGCATCGATAACATCGAATTTCACCAAAACTACAGGGTGACTTGGAACATCGAAATTTCACATTTAATACTTTTTTCATCTACCCAGTGTCTCTTTTTTTAACAACATAAGATGCCATATGTTAGTTCCACCTAAATTGGGGATTATGTTTAAAAATTCCCTAATTACATGTGACACAATGGAAGAATTATGTCACTTTATTGAATTAAAGTAAAGTGCCGCGTACACGGTCAAAATTCAGTTTTGTGGTGTTTGTGAAAAATTTTATGTATGCGTCACACCTACGATGCATGAAGCAAAATCAGATTTTTTTAATTTTTCTCGTGCATGACGTTCGATTTTGACATGTGTGCGGTTAAGTGATCATCCATATTCTCACTTGTGAGATCTTTTTTTTTAAAGCGAATGGGTGTATAGATAATGCCAGATAATGAGAAAATTTTTTTTGAGTTGTTGGAAGTTTAGCGGTCGTTGCCAGCACTTTGGGGTGTTCATCCATATTCCATGGTCATCCATATTCTCATTTGTGATTCTTTTTTTACGTGAATGGGTGTATAGATACTAAGAAAAAAAATTGTTTCAGTTGCTGGAAGTTTGCCGGTATTTGCCAGCACTTTGGGATGTTAAACGTAAAAATATAACAATCGGGTTATTAAAGAAAATCAATGTGAAATATTGATGCCGAAATACCGAAAATTAATTGGAGTCTTACCCAGGCTTAGTTATTGCCCATAAGTGAAGCTATCCATTAAAAAAATAAAATAAAATCGTTTGCCGATGACACTCTTAACATAACACCCTATACATAAGTAGTTTGGCATCATGGCCAATTTGATATTAATATGCCTATGGTAAATCACCTTATTTTAAATAAACATTCCCAGCTCTACATTTTCTGTACTTAACTTTGTCAAATTTCACTGCAAAGAAAACAGGTTCCATTTCTGATTTGTGTGTATACAATAGATTTGTAAATATAAATTTTGACATAGAAATGGTATAAATTAAAAAAAAATGTAAACATGTGATGGCATGACTTAACCTTCTTAGTTGTACCCATCGTTCAATAAGGAGGTAGAACAGCTTCGTAAAACTACAGTTAATATAGCCTAAAGCTGCAAGTACATAAGAAGCTTGAAGACATGGCTAGGCATATTTTGTAACATTTCATAAAGGGAGTACAGAGCCGCACTAAAATCCTGCCGTCATTATCCATTATAACTTGACATTAATATGCCTAGCCTTGACTTCAAGCCTTTTATGTACTTGCACCCTAAGGCTATGCCCGCTTCCTGTCAGACTCATTCAAATTTATATACAAGTTATTTTCATTTTTTTCATGTTTTTTCTAATTTTAAAAATGAGAATGAAAAATGAATGATTTTCTCTTAAAATATGTTCCAAACAATCTTTAAATTTAATGGATAAACTGGTTGATAGGTTTAATGCGCGAGCCGCAATGTACGTGTCTTCCAATCATTGGTTTTTAAAATCGGTTGTTTTACCTTTTCAAAACAATAAATACATACCCAAAATCGGCAGAAGTCGGGCAAACTTAGAAAAAAAATAGTAATCAGCTGGTAGCTCTACCTTACGTTTTTATTGTACTATGGTTGTACCACTATTATACATAGCAATTTTTAGTTTATAGCAATATTAATTTAATAAATTCATAGCAGAATGAACGTACTATATCTTATTGGGTGTAACGTGCTATTTTCGAAATAACAAGATTAGGGACAGGGAAAAGACTCAGAACCTCTACTTGTGTTTGTTTAATCGGTGACACATGTTATGAAATAATGCTGTAATACACTTTGTGCATATCAAATTAAACACACTCTCTGCTCTGTTGATGTGCTTGTTCTTTCGTTTTGAGTACACATTTGTCTTTTAATTTCTCCCATACAACTTGGTTTAATCCAAAGATGCCATGTCGCTTGCCGAAGATTTTTTGAAACTATAGACCTCTAATTCCAGTCGGTATTAGATTTCGATCTATGAAACTCTGTCGGTGTCGGTATTTTTGTTTTGATTCTACACAATTATTCTTATTTTTCTCATTCCGTATTTTTCGTCTAGAGATGCCACATCATTCGTCCCTTCTCGTTCCAGAGGTGCCGTGTTGTGATTATTTTGGTTCAATTCGTTGACGTGTCAGTCGTCGTGTCCGTCAGTAGTGTATTTTTTATAGAATAGCAGATTGTGCCAGGGAAGTCCGCTGAGTTTTTGGAGTTTTTGAATATTTTTAATATAATCTCTACGATTCACATTGTAATTATGTTAAAGCATATTATAGCCCTAATCGTGCTTGTCGGGGCCTGTGTAAATGCCCAGCGGGTAGTTCCCGGTGTTAATCCACAACACTATGTAAGCAAAGCTGACAATCCTAAGAGAAATAAATAAATGTTTTTAAAACATGTGTTAAAACTTAATTGACCTATTAATTTTTCTTGTTTTAGCAACAACAACCCGTACAACATCAACAACACCCACAGCATCCACCACAATATCAACAACAGCAAGTACATCCCAATCAATTGCCACCAGGCGTCAATCCACAACAATATGTGAGTTTTGTTTCAGATATGAGAACTGTGCCATATTAATGATTTATTAATGTTTTCTTTAGCAACACCAGCAGCAGGTCCAATACCAACAGGTACCGGTACAGCAACAACAACAAGTTCACATGCAACAACCAGTTCAACAAGTACCCGTTCAGCAAGTACCAGTTCAACAAGTTCCAGTGCAACAACAACAAGTGCCTGTACAACAACAAGTTCCTCAAGGCCATGGTGGTCATCATGCCAATCACGGTCAAGTTTTGAATGCTGCTAATATTCAACATGAAAAAGAGTAAGTTACCAAAAAATACTTGGCAAACTAGGTTTCGTATTCATTGAAATTGTTGTTGAGATGTCTAGGTGTCACTGCTGTTAGGTCGAGTTCCCACCATACCATGAATAGACAGATTTAAACTTAAACTTGTCTGGGCGAATTCAGTATTTTCTTTAATGAAATTGGAGTTGAGGGGTTTATATATCTATATTAGAGGAATTACACAGTTGTTGCAGAGCAGGTCGAACTGCCGAGTACAGGCGGAATTTTGTGACACGTAAACCACACTTGTGGTGGAAGTATCTTCGATCCAATGAAGTAGCGTCCGTTTTTATCAGGATTAATTCATTTGAATTTAATTTATTTTGTATCGGTCTGGTTTTATAAACCACAACTGGGTTCAATTTTTAACACCAAGTAGCTGTGACTACAAATTTCCCTGTTTGTGATTTCTTTATATTTTATTAAAAACCATCAACTATCAAATCAAGGGTGATCATTTTAGTGGCAAAAGGCTAAGTGATATTTTAAAACATTTTTGCTCAGTTATCATTAAAAAGTGAGAAATGATTAACATTGTAAAACATATTTCAAGTTCAATTTGGAACTTTTTACAACATTGAAAAAGACGTAATTTTTCACATAGATAAGTATTGTTCAACTACAACGCCATACGTTTATGAATAACATATTTTTAATAAAAAAATATTCTTTCTTATCATTTAAAAGATAAGCTATACCCATGACAATAACACATCACTTTTAAGGCCAATATAAGCAGTGCTATGGACTATGCCAAAATCAACCCATTCAAAACATCCAAATACGCTTTAAAATCAAAGTTAACAATTTTTGGTGATGACAGATTATGGTTTATGGTATTTGGTCAAAGGCCAGTAATATTTTTTTATGCTTATGATCCAATAATGATTTGGATATTTTACTTGCTACACTCGTGCAAAATTAGATATTATGAAACCGCATCATGACATAGCATCATTTGATGCTCTCACTGAGGTGACGCCTTATAGGGTTTTGACTCTGGAATAAATTTTAAGCCCATATTTATACCCTCAGCCATATGGCTACAGAGGGTATATATCATTTGATACGGTCAAAACGTGCCTAGTCGAAATAACGGTTTTAGACCCTAGGTCTCTTTGGACCAAATCCGTTTCAGAACATTTGGAATCGATCTAGCGATGTCCGTCCGTCCGTCTGTCTGTCTGTCTGGCTGGCTGGTGCGCACGATAACTCTCGAAGGGAGTATCCGATTTGGTCCAAACTTGGTACATCGTAATATTTTTGTCAAACTTAGATCGAGTTCGGAGATGGGCAATATCGGTCCACTCCTTCTGGTACATCCCCTACAAAATGTCGAAATTTTCAAACAAAATTATTTTTTGCACAGAAAGAGAAACGATAATCCGATTTTGCTCCAACTTTGCAAATCTTAATATTTGCGTCAGTGCAAGGTCAAGTGTGAAAATGGACAATATCGGTCCACTCCATCAAGTACCTCCCCCACAAATGGTCAAAATTTTGAATAATTACAACTCTTATAAAATGTGATATAAGAGTCCGATTGTCTTCAAATTTCACACCTGCCAATATTTATGTTAATCCAAGGTCTGATGTTAAGATGGAATATATCGGTCCATTCCTTCTGGTAACTCACCCACACAAATGGTCGAAATTAAAAAAAAATATATATATATATTTTTTGCAAAGAGAGAGAAACGATAATCCGATTTTGCTCAAACTTTGCAAGTCTTAACATTTGCATCAGTACTAGGTCAAGTGTGAAAATGGGCAATATCGGTCCATTCCTTCTGGTACCTCCCCCACAAAGGTTCAAAATTTTAAATAATTACAACTCTCATAAAATGTGATGTAAGAGTCCGATTATCTTCAAATTTCACACATCCCAATATTTATATTAACCCAAGGTCTGGTGTTAAGAAGGAATATATCGTACCAGTCCTTCTGGTACCTCCCACACAAATGATCGAGATTTTCAAAAAAAAAAAATGTGTATTTTCTGCACAGAAAGAGAATCGATAATCCGATTTTGTTCCAACTTTGCAAATCCTGACATTTACGTTAGTTCTAGGTCAGGTTCAAAAATTGATAATATAGGTCCCCTCCATCAAGTACCTCCCCCACAAAAGGTCGAAATTTTGAATATCCATCAAGATGTTAAAACACTAAATTAACATCCGTTTCCATTCAGACTTGGCACATCCCAATATTTTCATAAACGCAAGATCTTTTATAAAGATGGTAGAGATCGGACCATTCGTTCTGGTACTTCCCACACAAAGGACCTGAGTTTTGAATAATAAAAACGAGCAAAGAATCCGAAATAAACATCCCGTTCTCTTCATATTACACACGTCCCATTATTTCTACTAACTCAAAATCTGGTGTGAAGATGGGATATATCGGTCCACTCCTTCTGGTACCTACCCCACAAAGGATCAAAATTTTAAGTATCCATGAAGCCCGTAAAACGCAAAATTAACATCCGATTCTATTCAGACTTGGAGTTTCTCAATATTTTCATCGACACAAGATCTGTTATAAAGATGGTAGAGATCGGACCAATTTTTCTGGTACCTCCCCACAAAGGGCTCAAGATTTTTAAAAACAAAACGCTCAAGGAATTTGAAAAAAAAAAAAAACATCCAAATGCATCCATCCACTTCCTTAAATTTCCCACATACAGACATTATTTCTAACACAAGATCTGTTGTAAAGAAGATATACATCTGCCAACTTATAATTGTCATAACTTGCGAAACAAGTCGGAGATTCTTTGCTATATCTAAATATTTCTCTTAACCAGTATTCTGATATGAATATGTTATTTGTCGGAATTTGTGATTTCGCATAAAATTGGATACGATTGTTCTATTTCCTTCAAATTTTGCACATACCAATATATTTTTTCTGTATTAGATGAATGAAATTCTTCGGTCCGCTATATCTATTTTTTCCATTTTCCAAAAATATCTCATATAAAGTACAAGAAATAGTCGATATAGTCCAAATCTGTTACATTCATAACTTAAGGCTGGGGGTATACATCTGTCGGCAAAACCGACTGATACTATTTTACTTGTTTTTATTCCTGATGAGTATTTTTGTAATTTTCTGCCCCAAATTACGTTTTTAGAGGCATCAATCTATTGCTAAAAAAATTAATTGAACAATATGCATTTTGTTCCATCTTTATAGTAAGGCCTGTATAAGGTTGGCCAATAAGCCCACCTGACAACTATGTTTTCTGTCAAAAGACATAAATGTGATTTAAATTTCAAAGTAAATACCTATAAAAGGTCGGCCAAGAAGACTACTTTTGACAACAATTTGTCAGTAAACTTAGTAGTTAGTTTTTGCACAATTGTGAATTGGCTGTCTTTGAATTTCAAATCACAATATATCTTTAGATAGCAAACTAGTTTTCAGATGTTCTAATTGGCCGACCCATGGTATATTTTTTACAGACAGCAGAAGACACCAGCTATAGTAACACTAGTGTCAAATTCGATTTGACCTTTTGTGATTTAATTCCATTTTTTGATGTACAATAGGTATACACTTTTTGATATAAAATTTAACTGCAGGACAATGTGAACATATTTTTTTCCTCATTATAGAAAAATTTGCTGGTATACTTAACAAAACGCCAACGGCAATGGTGCGGAAACTCGTATTTTTCATATTTTCTAAAATTGCAAAATGTAGAATACTTTATATATATGCAGATTGGTTTCAATTTGAAAGGGATGTTGCTTTTTTCACGATTTACTAGCGATGGCTTCAAGTGTTGAGAGATATTGACTTTACATTCAGGGGAATGATATGAAAGTATTAAAAGTAAACGTATTAAGACCTATTCCTCTGCTTTTAAAATTTAATAATCCAAATTCCAAAAATTTATTTTTTTTAAATAAAAATAATTTATTTAAAATTGTTTTGTTTACATTTTTGGACATATAACTCTGACACTAGTATTACGTACAAAAATAAAATTGTATGTGTTTGTTTTTACGTTTGTTGTACAACAACACTTGCTGTTACCTGTATTATTCTACCATGTGGCCCACACAAGGCCTACATAAGGTAGGCCAAGAAGATAATTTTGATATTTTTAGGGTGGGAATACATAAAGCGCTTATTTGGCTGGCTTAAATCATCGGATGGCTTCTTCGGAAATAAACAAAAGAGCATAGAGCCAAAATAGAACTAAGACGACCTAAAATTCCTTTGTTCCTCTAAGAAGAAGCCAGTCGATGACTTAAGCCAGCCAAAAAAGGATTTATGTATTTTCACCCTTAGCTTGTTTTCCGTTCCCGTACTTTCTGCATAAAGCGGTTCTCTCAGTTTTGCACTTAAAAAAGTACGGGAACACAACATTAATTTACAAAAAAGGTAAAAACATATGATAGACGATTACACATTTATTGAATATACCTTGGGTGCGAGGTTTTCTATCCTTACAATAAAATAATTTTGTGCCGAAATCATTTATAGATTAATAACTTCTTAATAATATTTTTTTTATTTTCAGTCACATTCAAGAACATTTGCACGTACCTATTGATACAAGCAAAATGTCCGAAGCTGAATTACAATTTCACTACTTCAAAATGCACGATTCCGATAATAATAATAAATTGGATGGTTGTGAATTGATTAAATCCCTTATTCATTGGCATGGTAAGATACAATTTTGTGGTGTGATGTGATTTTGATTTTTAGACTTGTGATTTTTTAAATTAACTACCAAAGAGGGGTTTGTATGAACTTTTTATTTTATTTACAAAACAAAAGGATTAAGGGTAAATCGGGTCATTGGAGGTAGTTACAAAATCGGTCCTATGTAGACAAAATTAAAGAGTATTGGAAGTCTTTAGTGCAGGTTTAAACAGTTAACACTCATTCGTGGCATAACTATGAATTGTAGTTTCAAACTCGGCAATGTATAAACTAAACAAAGGAGCAAGAAAGGTCTCAAGGTTCAAATTATAAAGTTACCTGTTCTTTAAAGATACAAGCAGAATTATATTTTAATATTGAAGAACTAAAAATAATTACAAAAAAACATCAACTGAGTACTTGCGAAAGACGAGGTTAAATTAAATGACACTTGGCATTCAATTTCGAAATAAAACGTAAATTTGGAGAAATTTTTTTTTAGTTCCAAGAAGTTTTATTAACATTTGTTTGCCGATGTTACTATAACTCATTCATGAGAAAGGTGTGTTGAATATGTTAATCATGTTTCAACAACATCTTGAAAATACCGTTTGTCCATTTTTTTCAAATGGAATTTCGTTAAAATGCTTGAATATTTTAGTGTTGTTGTTTTTTTAACCAAACTAAGGTTCTACGCAAACGAGGATAAAAGCTTCTCACTCGATTTGCCTTAAATTAGATATGTCATAATTCAACTTATTCCTTCTTAGTTATTTAATAAAAAAAGCCCAGTAGCCACGAAAAAAGCCGATTTTAGGCCATCACCATATTCATAAAAAAGTTTAGTAAAGCCAAATAGGTTATATATTAATTAATTAATTAATAATTTAAAACCACCATTAACAATTAATTATTAATGTGTGTGTACATAAGCAGCTTGAAGTCTTCACATGGCTTATTTTGTGACATATTATAAAGGGATTCCAGAGCCGCACTAGAATCCTGCTGTAGTTTTTTCTATAATTTGCTCTATCCCATGGTAAAATTATTGTACCATGCTTTATCCGATCGAAATTGAAACAAAACTTGTTTGTCATTATTTACAAACCCTTCGTCGACAGTGGTATTTAAGAAATCACAATATATTTGAAATAAATGTTTGCACACTTATTTGTTCGAATTCCCATTTAAAGCAAACGAGCAATTAGCTTTATTTAGTTTTGAATTTAAAACATTTTGTAATTCGTAATTGTTGTGGTCTTCTTCTTTTTTACTTTCATATAATTCCACTACGCATTATTTTACCATCATCACGTTTTCTCTCATTTCAATATTTTCACGCATATTCGCAAATAAATGCTTATGTGTGTGTCTGTGCGTATGCGTCTACTCATATGTCTTTGGGCCCACCTCGACTTGTAATGCATCTTTAAAATGGTTTTTGGGCAATCATACAAAAAATGGTTTACGGTGATTTTAAATTACTACTACAACTCATCATTAACAACTGACTCACATGCCATCACACATAGAACAAGGAAGCAAGGAAGGACATGATGGTCAACAGCCTCATGTGGAGGAAAAAATTTTCACAGATGAAGAACTGGTAGCTTTAATTGATCCCATCTTGCAAATGGATGATTCATCGAAAGATGGTTACATAGATTACCCAGAGTTTATGAGGGCCCAACAGAAATCGCAACAGCAACAACAACAGCAGCAGCAACAAGCACAATCTGGTGGCCATTAGTGTTGTTTTTATAATTTTTATTAATATATTTTTTTTATTTTTTTATAATTAGCACTCTTCTTTAATTATTGTTTTCCCATGTACTATATAATATTATTTGTATTTGTTCTTTTCCTCTTAAGAATCTCCAAAAAAAAAGAAACACTCCTCCCAATGTATCTCTCTCTATTTTATGTATGTTGACAAAACAATTCCAAATTGGCATCTCCATTTATAAAAAATTATTGTTTTTTTTGTAAAAATCTTTTACTTTACAATTTTAAATAAGTTATGGTACATTTTTCCAACTTCCTAAAAAACTGTTGAAACAAAAATGACTGATTATAAAACAAAGCTCAGTTTATAAGAACAAAGAAACCGAAGAAACAGAAAAAATATGCAACAACATTGCAAAGCGAACAAAATTATGGTGAACATGAATAAAAAAACAAAACAATTGGAATAAAAAAATAAATGACATTTTTATGAAAAAGAAAAAAAAAACAACACAAACCAAATTTGGATTTTAAACATAGCATTTTTACATTTCATTTGTTCGGTTGTGGTCAGCTATAGCTTGTTTTTTCCTACCCATTTCCTTATATTATTATCATTTTTTCATATTTCCACGCCTACTCTTACCACACTTTTATAGACGACGAAGAAAAACAAAAAGAAAAGACTGGCGGAACTGGTGAAAAGCAAGGCACATCCTATACTGATGATAATTTAGCCGACATTATTGACTATGTTTTAAGTTCCATGGATCTGAACAAGGATGGCTATGTTGACTATGTGGAATATCGTAAAAGCGAGGAGGGTTCCGCAAAAGGCAATAAGCAATAATAGCAAATAATCCAACGCAATACTGAGTGCCAAATTCTTTTCCATTTTTTTTTTATATAGTAATGCATTTTTTTAATTCTTACCATTCGTTACTAAGTTTGTTTGTTAAATAAACTTAACAAAACTTAACATTGTTAACACCTTTTTTATACTAAAATAAAAACGAAAGTTTTCAACAATTTTATTTTGTTTCATTCCGGTTTCAAAGACCCATATCTCTGGCCCCAGGAAAGGTCAAAATTGTAGTATTTTGGAAAGTTTAGATTGTAAGCCATAATTTAGTATATACTTTATGGAATCCCATAATGAAACGTTTTCGACTTTTTGGGGGTTTTATAAAAAATTGGGTTCAAAAATTAATAATTTATATATAACTCTCGAATGGTGTGTCCATTTGTTGGTTAGGTAGGTTATTGACAATATCATTTAAATAGATCGGAATCTAATCTGGGTCTTGGACCAGGATTTTTGTGACAAATATCAGGGTTCGGGAATCAGTGTACAAATATGTACCTCTGGAAAAAAATTCAATAGAACTCCAACTACAAAACTATAGTTTTACCTATGGCAACAATAGAAGGTAGAACAAAGCTATCCCCTAAATAAAATCTTTTTTCATTATTGTTTCGCGGGTTTTCCCCAATATAAGAATTTTGTTAAAAAATGAAAAATTAACAAAACTAACTGTTGCATATTTAAAAGTCGAGCACATAGTTGCATTTTTCTAGTTTCTTTGAAGTTGAGCAACCTTTCTGATTGAGCCATGGTTTTCCCCAATTGTTGTGTTTCAAATATTTCTCCGTGGCCGAATTAATAACCACTTTAATCAATAAATTATGTGTAATTTTTAGTAAAATTTCCAATTAAAATTGTCTGTATATATTGTGTTTGTATTTTTATGCAGACTCCTTTTTAAATACAATTTTGTTGATACCTATTTTTTCTCTCTAATTGCTTTCCGTGAACATTTTTGTTTGTAATAGCAAAAGTGGAAAGAAAGAAATTCCGCACTAGATTGTTATCCATAATTGGGCTGATAGCAAATAAATATACATTTCAAGGCATATAGGGAATAACACTACAGGTCACTCATTACAATCACAATTAGTGGAAAAAATTCTGTCTCTCAAATTTATTTAAAATGAAACAGTTTATAAATTTATCTCCACCACGAAGACATGACGTAAAAATGTGTTGTTTCAAAATAAATGTGTTGTTAAGCAAAATAAATTTCTATAATATTTTGTTTGTGTTGTCCCAATAAAGAAATTCCATGCCGGCAATAAAAAATACAACGAAATTGTTTGTATGCCATGTTTTTATAACATGCATCAATAGTATGTGTAGATATATATTTTATTTTAATAGTTTTTTGTTTTTTTTTCTTATTGTTTTGTTTTAGTATTTTTAATATTTTCTTTTTGACATACTTAATACGATGTACAATAATAATATATGGAGTTTTTATTAAATATTATTTTTTTTTGTATTTTTTTCTGTATGCATAAAAAATTAAACAGTTATATTATAATAAGGACATAAAAAAATGTGTAATTGGATTTAAAAAATAAAAATAATTGTTAACAAAAATATATATTTAGATATTTTTTTTTTAATTTTAAAAAAATATTGACACATAATAGATTTATATTTTTGTGTATTTCAATCCTCAACAAATAAAAATAAAGAGGAATTGTTAAAAAAAAAAATAAAAGTAAAACATTTTAGTTTTTCTTAAAAGTATTACATGTGATTTAAAAATATAATTTTCTTGGAAACATATATATTTGTTTATAAACCAAATAAAAGCTATGCTTATATATTTCTAAAACTTATAAAATGACCAACTAACAACGATTTCCAAATGGCTACTGCAGTATATATTTGATATTGTGCAGCTTTTGTGTCTATTTTATGGTGATTTGAAATTAGGTACTGCTGAGTGTTTCTGCTTTTGGGTTTTACTGCCGAGTTTTCCCTAATAAGGAGCTGATCTGCTTGCCCGTTTACAAGCACGTCTCAATTTCTTTTCTAGACGCAACAGTTTCTGCCATTCTGTATTCAAATAGATGTTGTGTTGTATTAGATCACGCTCTTCCCTTTCGATAGCCTCCTCACGTTCCTTGTTCTTTAGACGAGATTTACGGCTGGCCTCATTATTTTTGGCCCGCTCCAATACCTTTTTCTGTTCACTCTCGGGCAAATGAGCCAACTGTGAAGGATCGGGCACATCACTGTGTATCTTGGCTGGACGTCCTCGGCCACGTTTTGTGGTCGCACACGTTGTGGCTACGGAGGGGGCAGGTGAGTAAGGTTGCTGGTTGATAATGCCAGAAAAATTGGTTTGATTTGAATTGGAGGAATTGACGCTGTATGGTGTATAAGGTGGTGTAATGTCATTTGAATTATAATCCATATCAATCGCTTCCGATTTAAATGTTAGAATGCTATCGGAGGATTCATGTGGAGAGCATGCGATAAGGCTATTGAAGATATCTTCGGTAGTTTCCTCCGGGGCCGGTTTAAGTGGCAAGGATAACTGAAATTTGTATAAAGAGAAGAAAATATTAGTTATCATTTTGGAATGAGAAATCAACCTGATAAAAATGTTTAAGATAATTTGAAAAGAAGTCAAAGACAACTTTTGAATTTACACAACAATACCCACCTGTTCATCAATCAACCTAACAACGCCTGGAGTATCAAGCACACCCTCTTCGACAGCTCGACGCTTCGTATCTAAGCGCAACTTGGCCCGTTTCTTTTGCATGTGTTTTAGAGTTTGGGGACTCTGAGAACGCTTTAGAGGATTTTCCTCGGTCATTATGGCCAAATCATCATTGTAGAATGAAGTTGAATCGTCCACGAAGGAGTCCATACACACAATCTGTTGGGAATTCGAGCCGTCATTGGCCTCAGCGGCTGCTGACATTGCTGTGGAGGTTGCTGGTGTATCTAATAGTAAATATTCATTTGAATAGTGTATAAGATTTGGCGATATATGTGGTTCTGCGTTCATGATCTCTTGAGACAATTCGGCCACACTCGAATGGGTTCTTGTCAACTGCGATGATTGTGATGACATTACCAACGAGCCGCAAAACATTGGATCGTCAAAATTGCAAATTGATTCACTGTTTTCAGCTCCATTACAATCCATTATATAGGGAAAGTCTTCATTCTTGATGTCATGAATATCAACAGCATTTTCAAAAGATGGATTCAAAATGTCCAAATCTAAGTCATCATTGTTTAAATTTTGGCTATTTGGGGCCAAATCGAAGATGCCATTTTCATCGTACATGTTGTTGTGGTTGTTGCAAATGTCAGCTAGATTATTGACCGCCATTGGAATAGTGTTGGAATTGTTGTTGTTGTTAGTAATAGTAATGTTGTTGTTGTTACTGCAACTTGGACTGTTGCCAAATAATATTTCATCCAGTATAGATTGTAACTGTTGCTTTTGTTGTTCTTCTACGTCGACTCCTTCTTGATTCTTTTCAAAATTATTTATGTGGTTCACTCCGCCACTTGTTGTAAGTAAGAGATTTAATGGTGTTTGTTGTTGCTGCTGCTGCTGTTGTGTTGGCTGTTGATAAGCCTGCTCTAATAACTTCTCTTTGTCCTGATCCTTGCTAGTAGTTTCCGTCAACAATTCAATATCGAATTCAAAATTTTCATCAAAGGTCTCAACACCGAAGCCGGTTTGCTGATTTATTTCATCGATGCTAACCGCCTCCTTGCTGTTGTTACAATTATTTCCGTTGTTGTTGTGATGGTTATTATTGTTGTTGTTGATATTAATATTTTGCGTTGTAACTGATGTTCCTGATGTTGCAGACAAAGTCGATATTGCGGCTTCTTGTAGGTATTCTACACGAACGACGCCATAATCCAAGAGAAAGAGGGGAAAGGAAGATCGAACATATACACGTTAGTAAAATTTGTTTCAAATTATTATTAAGATATTTATAATTAATATTAATATAAGTGCATTGTTTCGTAAGTGTATGATGGTTTGTGTGTTATTTCATTTGGGAGTATTTTCGTTGTTTAAAAAATGTCCAGTAATGTGCAATGACTATTTGTTGTAAATTAAACTATTTGATAAAGTTTTATTAAATAAAATAATTTTCAAAACCCTATCACATTGTACCAAAAATAGTCCACATTATCCGGGACCAAATACATCTGTTAAACATCCAGACAGAAATTATTTTTTTTTTGCAAAGCTGAGAAAGTGTATCGGCTCTAACAAACTAAGTATCCAAAACATTGCGTCATAATCCCCCAAAATAGAAGGAACTTGTTGTTTTTGGTAAAAATTTGTAGAAAACAAATTTTTAAATGCTGGCTTGATTGTGCAAAATTGTACACATTTTTTTTTCCAAAAACATTAAACAGTTACTTGAGTTTGCATGACCCCATATGATCATGTCCAGAAAGTTGTAGAAGTTTTCAAATTTTTTTCTTTTCTGTGTTTCAGCTTTCTAGTTTTTTTTTCATTTTGCCCTTTTTAGGTTTTTCATTTTGCCCGCGTTAACAATAGTTTTGTAAAAGAATATGTGAGAAAATCAAAGCATATGTTGGGGCGCCAAATTAAAAGAGCGAGACAACTACTGAGGAAGCCTCAAATCTCTTACAAAAAAAAGAGATGAAAAACAAAAGCGAAACAACAAAACTTAAAATTGTTGTGAAATTCACTTCGTAGGAACATCAACAGGTTAAATGAAATAATTCATTTAATTGAAAACTTAATTGGAAAAAGGAAAATAACATTAATAATGACAAAGCAGGTAAGTATTTATATTTTTTATTTAATATAAAAAATAATTACTTTAACATTTCTTCTACTGAAATATATTTGTTGAGGTTGTTGTTGTTCGGTATTTATTAGGTATTGTAGGTATTTATTAAATTATATTTTAAATTTTCATTAAAACATACAAATTATTTTAAAATGAAACCAGTAAAGATAACATATTTTTACCAAAACAAATTATTCCTTGTGAATTACTTAATTTTTTCTTTGAATTATTAAATTATATTTTTTTTTGATTTTTTATTGTTATTTCTCATAAAGAAAAAAATTATCCCACTCCTAAATAATAACAACATTTCCTTTTGGAATTGCAGTTTATTCTACCGGCCATATGATAGGTACTTGCTGCTGCAGTTGTAGTTAAAAAGATGATTCATGAATTGCTAACATGAAAACCCAAGCAATGGGAGACATAGAGAGAGAGATACTTTTTTAGAACTGAGAAAAACACAACATTGCCGGCTGTCCATTAATGGCGTGTGTGTGTTTGCATTGTATCTCTAAAATATTTGTTTGAAAAGGCAGGCATGCACGAGCATGATTTTGGCCAAACTAACGGACGGACGATATGGGAAACTAAGAAAATTCAACAAAACTAAACTGGAATAAATTAGAATATAAAAGAAAACTTTTTTATGATAGATCTTAGAAACTTTTAAATAAACAACATCGTCAAAAAAAAAATATTAAAATTGATATGTTGTTTTGAATTTTGTTATTTTGGTAACACCAAATAAATGCTAACAAAAAACCATAAATTTTTTCAAAATTTTACAATATTTGATCATGTTTTTTGTTATTGTCGTTGGTTTACAAGAAAAACTATGTAAAACGTTTTCTTTTACCTTAAGACTTCAGTTTGACGGAACGTACTTAACCGGATGACGGCTAAAACACTACTGATAATGGTAACAGTCCGCAACAATATAAAAACACTGACAACAGATAGCTACTCTCGCGCAAAACAGAGTAGAGGGAGAAAAATATAAAACGTTTACAGAATAAGAGAGAGAGAGAAAACAGACAGAAAATGAGAAGGCCTAGCCGTGCAAACTGAGACGTGTGGTAGGGCAAATAAACATATGATTTCTGTTATGCTTGTGGAGATCAATGAATTTTGTAAATTAAGGCACAACAAAAACAAATATAGGTGATCTCTTTCTGTGAGCAAACAAAAAAAAATGCAGCAAGTGTGCCTTGCTTTGCATTGACAGAGCGAAAGGGGAAATGTGCAAAAGAGATGTAGTTATAATTGGTGTGGTTAGAAGATGACAAGTGTCCAAAAACCATGACCCCTTCTTTTTCGCACGTGTATATAAGTGTGTGTGTGATGTGTGCGAAGGTATTCATATTCGTATAGGCTCGTGCCTTCGTATTAATAACAGTATTAATTTAAAGGAAATGTAAACGGTATGTCGTTTATAATAAACAAGAGAGTTCATGTTGTTGTTTTTTTTTTGCTGTAGGTGTGCATTTTTGAAAAGAGTTAGATATACAAATAAATTGATATCTCAAAAAATTGATTTGTTTTGCTCAAAAGCGGTGTGGGGGAGAAAGAGATCATCTTTGTTATGCTCTTATCAAATTGTGTGTGGTGGACGAAGCGAATATAGGAAATGTATGAAATTAATTTTGTAAATGTTTTTTTTTATGACACGAATAAGAGGGTTAATGTGTGTTTGTGTTTCGAATGATTTAAGTAGCATATTACTAAAGAAAATTGGACATTGATATCTGAATGACGTTTTTATAGATGACGAACAACACAATGCAAATTCTTTTAAAATTTGGACTGTTTTGCTGGCATGAGAAGTATTTTCATTATTACAAAGTGTGGGAACCTATTTCCAATTTTAAATAGTCTATTAACTACAGATTAAGAAGAACAATTTCATCATAGGTAGTTTCGCAAATTGCTAGAGGCAGTCAAAGATAAGAGAAATTTTGCCAATTTACAATAAAATTTTTTTGCTTATATTATGAATGTTAAAAAAGTACTGGGTTAAAAAATTCTTTGTTATAGTAATTTTGATTGAACGATTCAGGTTTTACATATAATAAACAAATATCCATCCCTGCCTTTCTGGCAACATACAACCAAAAAATTAGATTTGCTGAAAAGTAAACTTTTGAGAAGAATTTGAATTTGAAAATAAGACTTAAAGCCGTTTAAAATATTGGAAAGTTTTCCAATGTCTTCGTCGTGGGAAGCAGGACTTAGAATTTAATGCTGATGAAGAATATATGTGTACATACTCTATAGAATATAAGTGACTATTTGGAATGATGTTTTGAGTTTCAAGCAAGTTACAGCATTTGACATTCAAATTCCAGTAAAGTGAAAGATAGAAGCCACATTTGTATGAAAATGTGTCCATTTTCTTTCGAAATGTCGATTCTAGTCATGCACTTATTGAAACTCAAAATCAATTTCTTTTGAATTGAATACGAAATGTCAGCTATCTTTGTGTAAAATTTCCTTGAGAAAGGATGACTTACTCTATTGATATTTACATTTTACCAAGAATTTTATGCAAATCAAGATTGTATACACTTTATAGGGTCTAAAATGTATGCTTCGAGATGTTACAAACGAAATGACAAACTTAATATACCTTCCATACTATGGTGAAGGATATATAGAAAAAGTTAATTTATGCGAAAATAATGTGGTTGACCTCTTTCTGTGGATTTTTTAACACTTATGCCATGAAATTGGCAATTTAAATTCACAGGGTCTACTAAATCCGGAAATTGTCTTAAATGTAAAATAGGACTCAGGCAGTGTAACATTTTGCATTTGAAACTAATAACCCGTTTTTTGTAAAAAATTTACTTTCAATCGAATCGTTCGTATTCAAACGTATTCATTTTAGTATGTGTTTTAATAAAAAAAAATTTAAAACTCTGGTCCATTTACGAAAAGCTTTGATATGTCAGGGTTTCCATAACCATTATTTTTTTTATTTTATTTCATTAGGAGTTGTGCTGATTGTGGCAACCCCAATTAATTCAAAATTTATCACATTTGTAAAATTACATTGAAAAATGTCAAGAAATCATGGTCCTGCAAGATCCGCAAACATATAGTTGATATGACAAAATTGTTCATATATAAATTCCCCATCATACACATACAATTTTGGCGAGATTCTGTAACTAATAGCCCATTTCTGTTCGAAACGATAGGTCTCCTCCTCCTATCGTTTTTTTGACATTTTCGTTCGTTTTTTCGTTACAAAAACCAACAATGCAAGGAAAAAAGTTTATTGTGTTTGTCACTAACAGAAAAAAAACATGCACTACAAAAACCCAAAATATATTTTCTTTAGCCAAAAGTCAAAACGAAAAGAAAAAACACTGTTACAAAAACAGGCTGTTTCGCGGTTTCCCATCTCGCTTTGAAGTTTCAATCGTTTTTAGAACATTCTAGTCATTGTTCTGCTACTGTTCTCACCTTTGTTAGAACTAATACAAGTAGAACTAATACAAGTGCAAAAATTATGATTCATTAATAATTTTGTCTGCATGCCTATGACGGAGAAGCTCGTGGCTGTCGCCTCATTGAATACAATAATTGATACAAATCTTTAATTTGCCCTCCCTTTCATGTATGATCGAAAATGAGCTTTCTTAACCAAAGAACATATTTGCTGCATTTTTAGACAAACAATGATTGAAAGTTACATGTCGATGTGCAAACAATCAACCCCACCAGCAATACTAAAAAAAGTGAAATGAGACAAAGTGTTATTGCACAAAACGCAGTAAAAACCATAATAAAGAGATGAACCACAAACATAATTGAAAGCGAGTGGGTTGTGTGTTGATATTTTGATGTTGTTTGGCGGGTAAATTCCCGTTTACTGTTCTCTCCACAACAATTAACAGAGAAAGAGCGCCAGGGAGATAAGAAACAGCCTCTAACAAGATACTGTTAAGCGCTCGCAAAGAGGAAGAAAATCATTCTCTGTTGTTATTTAAACAGTTAGACAACATTGTGGAAAGGGATGAACAGAACAACACCGGCAAATCAAACCATATCTCATAAAGAGAGAGAGCACAATAGACGTATTTGTCAAGAGAGACAAAAACAGCTGTTGTTGGCTGCATTACACAGACATTGAAAAATTTATTTGTTTTACATATCGAAGAAGTGTCGGGACGTCAATTACTTTGGGGAGATGATGTTCTGTTCTGTTAACACAGACAAAGTGGTTTCAACATTTTCGTTTTCTTTGTTTGGGGGGAAATTGAATGTGCCAAAACGAAAAAGTGTGCGTGTGTGTGCGTATGACGAACTAACTAAGTGTGTGTGCCTCTGTTAAAGAATTTCACAACTAAGATGTGACGTTAAAATTGTGCCACCTCTCTTGTGGCGATTAATGGCATATTATACGCCAATAATAATTTAATAAATAAAAAAAGATTGATTATTAGTTTCTTTTTGAAATACATCGGCTAAAGCAGAAATAATGATAAAAGTGTCTAAAGTGCGAGTTTTGAGGTAAGTTTTTGAATACCCAAAATACCATCTAATTTGCCCTGATATTACATATTTGGTGCACAACAACCTTCAAATCCGTTGAATGATATATATGGAAGCTATATCCAAATCTGAAACGATATCGATAAAATTTCAGAGAGGTATTTTTGGACTGTGTCTCATATCTGGTATCAAATATCATTGTTGTGGAGTGCATATTACGAATGTGAGGGACTTGAGCAAATGCGATAAAGCCTATACATGGGAGAAATTGCTATATCTGTAACGATTTTCACCTAATTTGAAATACTTACTTCAAGGCTGGATTCGGACGGATGTATATACATCATATTTGGACGAATATTACACACGTTGTGCAAATTGAATTGAAATCTAAATTTGCACCGATTCTCGCAAAATCCAATAGAGTTCGTTATGTTATTTAAATCGTAACTGTTATTTAAATCGGAAATGACGATGCGACCTATACTTCGATAGACGGACGGACACGCACAAATCGCCTCAGAATGCAGATCATGCATGTTAAAAACAAATGCCCAAAGACTTAATACCACGGTGTGGTCACAGTGTGGCGTAGGGTATACAAATGTCGAATATCGAAGGCCACTGTTATATAGGTGTGACATATAATAATATTGAGAGGTTCGGTTATGTAGGGAATATACGAAAACATGAACCTATATATACGATTTTCTGCACATTTACAACTTCAAGTACTAAATTTGAAACAATTCCGCATCAATATGCTGGATGTTTGGCGGTACCGCCATCTTGACATGAGTGCAGACAAAAGACTGGTCTGTGTAAAAATTTAGTTTCCTATCACTAGTCGTTTGGATTCTGTCAAAAACGGACGGGCATGGGATATTATATTCTTCGGGAAGTCGATCTATGGGTACATTGCTTCAAGTCAAAATTTTCCAAACAAATCAGAAAAAATGAAATGGTAACGATATTCTATAACCTACAGATATTCTATAACCGTTTGTAACACTTGATCAGCATAACATTTTATGGCGATTTATCGATGTCTGTCCGTCTGTGGAAAATACTAGCTTCCGAACGAAATGAAGTAGGTTGATCAAGTGTTTGCAGGACTTTTAGTATTGAAAATGGGCAATATAGGTCATAATATAACTATATACCGCCAGATTTATTGTGTTTGGCTTGCTTTAGTCACACTTGTAAGCCGAATTTGCGGTAATCTGGTAGTTTTTCCCAGCACGTAAGCAACATCCTGGCATAGAATTGTCTATACAGGTCCAATGTTTGGTATAATCCCCATATGAGTGTACCTCCAGATATTCGCTGTTTTAAGAATTTTAGCTATATTTTTGAACAGAATTGTTTTTTACTTCATATTTGCAGTTCGTAAAAGGCACCATGCTAAATGCTAAATATTATTTCCTTCGACACTATTTACCTAAAACTAAGTTCTATGTTAATTACATAACGCGTTGCAAAAATTGAACAGCAAAATGTGCAAATGATTTTCAGTATTTTGCTAAAACTTATTACTTTTTTTTGTAAATATATATTATAGATATAAAATCTATACCCTCAAAGGCTTATAGTGAAATTCAAATGCCGAATATTTTTCCATAATATAATTTTTTTGTGTTGTACAGCGTTATTTTCAGCTGTCAAGTGACAACAAATATTGCAAATAATCACAAAAAACTTTCCAAATTTGTAGTCAAAAGCAATAATTTATACATTTTTATTACTGTTTTCTATTAACAAAATAATTTGAGATAATAGCAAAAAACTGACTCATTCATGTAGAGCAAGTTATTCAATTGCATCTGAGTTTACTGTTCCTTTATTCAGTTTTTTTTTCTTTTTAGAAATGATGTGGTATCAAGGATATATGAAAAAAATAATACCAGAATCTCATGTTGAAGCATTTGAAAAAAAAAAACAAGTTTCCCAAAGTGTTTCAAGGCAGGCTATTTTTATACCCTACAACACTATGTGTTGGGGGTATTATAAGCTTGATTGGGCCAAAAATTATGTAACACCTTGAAATAATGGTTTCCGACATAGGAAACTATATATGGATATTTCTATCTCGCCGAGTTGAGTCGATCTAGCTATGTATGTCCGTCTGTCCATGTAAATTTGTAGTCACGCTGCAGGCCGCAATTGTGGACCGATTCTCACGAAATTGAAAATGGAGGTGGGGTTAAGGTTAGAATAGAACCCTATTGTCTATGGAGATGATCGCACAAAATTTAGGGGTTGAAATGGACCAAAAACAGAAAAAAATCCTGCTTTTGCAGTTGCTCTATAGGCCACAATTATGAACCAATCGACACGGAAATTTGCATGGAGTTAGAGTTCAGCACTGGGCAGAAGCTAACCAATTTGGATTGTAATCGGACAATATATAGCGGGTAAAATAAACCATAACTTTTATGTCAAAAATACGAAAATGTCTACTAAACCGCGAATATTTTTGATCGCGGCCAAATCACAAATACATTAAAAGGTCACTTCTGACCATTACAGTGATGCTAATAGCCAAGATATCGGATATGTAGCAACATTGGTACAAAATATATGTAAAAGAAATAGATCTTAGTTATTCCCCCTATAAGTCAAGAACCGCTGCACAGATTTTCACAATTCTCATCAATTCGGAATGGTCTCTTGCCATAAAAGGATAACATTTAAGAAAATTGCGGAAAAATATGTTGTTTTTTTTTTCAATTTATGTCGTATTTTTTATCACATGCAATTTTTTCAATTTGACTTACAATTTTGAATTGTAAATTTTCTAAAGCTATTCTGCAACCTGCACCAGTATGTGTTGAGGGTATTAAACAGGTCGCAATTATCGTGCGATGCTCACGAAATTTTGCATGGGGTTAGGGTCAGAATTAAAGCCTATTGTGTTTGCAGATGTACATTTAACGGTTCAACTGGACCAACAAATTAAAATTTTCATCATTTTGCAGTCGCTCTACAAGTCGCAATTAAACACCAATCGACAAGGAATTTTGAATGAGAAGAGAGTTAAGTACAGGGAAGAAGTATAGCATTTTGGATGACCATTGGATTATATTTATCTTTAAAATCGACCAAAACCTTCGTGTGAAATTGTTTTGCATACCTAACAACACGACGAAGTGCTTAAATATTCTGGAAAAGAAAGCTAAGGGTAGGGCTTTATGGACATGAGGGGCCTTCCAACATATTGTAGTATTGTAGGGTATCACAGTGTCGGGCCCGCACGACCGTAGCCTTTGATTATTTGTTTTATTTTATTCTACGCCCTGAGAAACCAAATGTTTAGTTCAATGCATTTTTATGCGGCAAGATGTCGGCAATCATATATTGAAATATCGCCGTTTGTTTCAATAACAGTACTGCGTCGACATGTATATCAAGATCGTAACGGAGCGTCTCAATTTTAAACGTCTCAGCCAGTCGAAGTTACGACCAGACGAGTGCATCTACCTGCCTGATGCCAGCTGACAATCGCCTGGAGTTATTCGTCATCTTTACTGGCAAACCGAAATTGACGGGAATTACGAATCTGATGTAGACAAGACAACCATGCAGCAACCGGAATGACATGTAGGCAAGACAAACATGCAGCGATCGGCATGACATTACTGCCTGAGTATTCTAACAAACGATCAGAAAACTTATCGTTGCAGAACGACCAATTGGCTGCTGAATTCTCAAGACAACTGCTAGCACTGGGTAAAGGCAAATTCCTATAGATCTTACAAAGGATTAATATCCTTACCACAAAATGTTTGTGAGTTCACAATGTTGAAGGAGGACCACATCACTAAAACGTTTCTGGGTATTGCAAAAAAAAGGATCTAGTTTGAATTAGTGAACGGGTAGTACTAGCAGCGAAAAAATAAGGATGTCTCCATATTAAATTTCATTATATAAAGTTAAATACCTGGAAAAATAAGTTCATACAAATCCGTTAATAGCGTCACGGACGAGAATGAAGCGACCAACTGCCCGACAGAACTTTTGAACTTACTTGATGTGCCTGGAACTCTGCCACATAATTTAGGTGAAAGTGGGGAATCTAAATCATTCGAAATCGTGCACCGGTACCCGGTTGTCTCTCGAAAAACTGATGAATAATGTAATTCAAGAACAAATTCAAAAGAGAGACATTCCTTATCCTATGACTTTAGATTATTTCAGAAGATTTTTCATTTCAATTCAAGCGAATTTAGCTCCCAATTCGACTGGCTTTTGCGATGACAACTAATAAATCCAAGTAATTAGAAGGGATGAATGCTTTCCTGAGTGAAAGTATGAATTCCAAAATTTACTTTATTAAAAAGTAAAAAAAATCGTTAACTTATCACAGGTAGATCTATGAAAAAATCATAAGACATGACAGCGTTTGCCGAGTCAGTTAGATTTTTTATAATTTTTTTTGGCATTGCATCTAATTCTAATTTAGATGGAGTATGCCCATAAACCTTAAACGCTTTTTTTTGTTGGCGAATAATTTTGTGGAATATTTTTATCCACCATAAACTATCATCACATCTTAATGGTCTTTTTGAAAAAAGTCTCTAAACGATCCCTTATATGACCCTACTAAGGGTTAGACTGCTTTACAAAAACATTCTCCGGATGTTTGCCAGTAATATTTCCAAAGACACAATATAACTAAACTGCATGGATTCCAAGAAATATTTTCAAAAATGGCCAGGACCGCCCTGTTAAGTTTGGTTCAAAACCACGATACACACATGTCTCATAATCTGCTCAGTTTTCCTTGCAATAGTTTGTGTGTGTCGCACAGGGTTTTGGCGCAATTGGAGACCCATCAATTCTCAATAATAATAATAAATAATGAATTGAGACACTTCATAACCCCTACGAACAAACTGACGATTGCGTCAACACTGATTCCCAAATGAAAATCTGGACTTAGATGCCAGATATTTGTACAAAAAAATCTTAGCAGATGAGTTTCAAAATATTCAGTAATTTTAAAAATAAGCACAACTTTATACAAATATAACAATAATGAGCTGAAATGAGAAATGATATATGTATGTATTTATATATGTTTATGTGTAATGCTAGAATGAAATATGTAAATATATAATGATAAATAAATGATAAAAAAAAGTCTGCGGAATAACAAGTTTTAATACACATTGCCTTATTTCTGTGATTTGAGGTCCTGGCCCCCGGACGCACTACATGGCCGGGGACAGACTTCATCACACTACTGCAGTTCGTGGTGTGGTTGTACCATTTGTTACCTCCGGTACCATCAACTTCTCATCAACATCATTTCAAGGCACTTCAACCACTTCTTCTGGCATCGTTAGGACACCATTTGCAGTTGCAGCAAATGGTGGGCCTGAACCATGGCCTGTTCCGTGGGTTTTCACTTTTCGTAATGGGTCATTGCACTGTGATTTTTTATGTGATTGTGACCTTTTCTTTTCCCGAGAGAGAGAGAGAGAAAAAGGCTATATGTGGTTGTTTGGTAGTGACGTAGGCGTATTGGTTTCGACAGTCAACTAGTATGGAGTCATTTGGTCAGGTCGTGCGTCTGTCCATCCGTCCATCAGGTTTAGGCTATGAGTTTGACGTATGAGTTTCAAAGTTGTGCTTCATTTAGAAAACACTTTTAATTTGTACACATAACCATGGCCAGAACATTGAACTCGTTGTCATCAGGATTCCATACGTGCTGACTGGGCGAAGGTACCGATAGGTCCTCCCTTTTACTCCAGAACTTGTGACATTTGAGTTGCGAGTTCAGCCATGTACATACACAGTACTCACCATCTATGAATACCGGAACATTTATCTCTTCAACTGTAGCAGTAGGCGGCATTGCTCCACTCATATCCGCTGCTGTAGGGGACAACATATCGGCACCTGTCAACTCTATGCCGGCCATCGATGCCAAAGTCGACGATGGCTTCTTGCCGATTACCACTTGTTTTAGGTTCGACTTGTTCGAATAGCTGGTCGCAGCTGGTACTGTATTGTTTGTTGTTTGTATTGTTGCTGTTGTGGTTGTTATATTGGACTTGACGCTCTGGCGTGGTAGTAGTGTTGGATTCAAAGACTTGCTTTGAGTTTGCAAAGAATCTGGTGACTTGCTTTCGTATGATCTGCGCATAAACTGCTGAACCTGGTATTGGTGGGTCGCAACCTGGTTCACGGGTATTTTCCGAATACTTTCTAGTTTCAGGGGGTGGCGTTGATTCGCCTGTTTGATTTTTATGATTTTCGTTATATCTCGTTTCTGTTTCACCTTCGTCGTTTCTAGGAGGTGGGGTGACTCCGGATTCAACTCTTTCTGGTGGGCTTCCACTGTTTGGGGTATAATCTTCCGAACCAATGGTAAATTCGCAGGCCTGGTAAGCAAAAATATTCTTGGTTTCGAAGATTGTTTGGGAATTTTCAGAACGGTTGTGGTTGCTGTTGTTGCAGTTTTCTCTGGTGTATTCGAAATCATACAAGGTCTCTTCACCAAATTTGTTTTCGTTGTCATCAATGGGGATTGATCCTGACTCAATAATGTTGTTGGGATTGATTTCTCGCTTATGCCCGTTTGTTGTCGTTGGGGGTGGTAAGGTGGTTCCTGTATCATCAAGATTATACTTTCTGGACTTTCGGAGCTTGTGGTTATCGTAATCGTTTGCACTGTCTTGCACTTGGACAACGGATTGGACTCCCGCTTCAGTATAATAGTAGATGGGGAGTACGACCTTGTTGTTGTAACGTGATTGATTTGATTGGTTTGTGTTGGTGGTGGTGTTGTTGTGGGCTTGTGGCCGTGATAGGCTAGATTGGACTTCGACGCTGAATGCCATTTTGATCTTGGCTATTGGGCGATACATTTTATTCCAGAACACAATAACAACGGACAGCGGACAAATATAGATCCAAGAATTGTTTTTATATTATGTTACCCCCAAAAAAATATTTAGTAATTTTTTTTTTGTAAAAAAGAATTCGTTTAAGCAACAGCAGCAATACAATACAGTTTTCAGTTTTTATAGCGTCAAGTTTTCAGTGGTGGCAATTGTTGACAGGTATTGTTATAATTCACAAACGTGTGAATTATTATGTTTTTTTCAGAACGCAGAAAGTAGAAAGAGTAGGGGGGTCAAAGAAAGTTACAGTTGATATAAAGAGTGGAGCAATAACGATGTGGAAGAAAAAAAAAGTAAACAAAAACATGATATTATTAAAATGTCCTTGCGACCAAGCATTGGGTTTTTTTTGATTTGTAGTCAAATTTACAGACAAATATTTGTGAAACAAATCTAAATTACAAAACAGTTTGGCTATGAAATTTTCGGGTTATGTTTTTTTTTCATGGTGGAGTGGATGTGTTGGTTATTTTTTCGTGTTTTCTTTTTTTGTTTGTTTTCGTTTTCGTTTTTTTTTTTTTTTTTTTTTTTTTGGGGCCGGGTAGTGATATCAAGTGCAATGCGTGCCATTTAAAAAAGTGATATATTCGAAAAAAATCCGAATCCATATCACTCGAATGGCAAGCCATCGAATGTATTGCTGCTGTAGTTGTTGGCTACGCTTGATATCACTGTTATTGGCCACCAATACTTTTATTATTTTTTCGTTTTTTTATTTTTTTCATAGATTTTTTTTTGCTTCTTTATTTTTTATTTTTTCATATTTTGGTTTTTTCTTTTTTTTCATTTTTTTTCGTTTCCTTTTTACTTTTTTTGTTTCTTTTTTTATTTTTTTTTTCGTTTTTTTTCATTTTTTCGTTTTCTTTTTTATTTTTATTTCGTTTTCTTTTTTATTTTTTTTCGTTTCCTTTTTATTTTTTTTTCGTTTCCTTTTTTATTTTTTCGTTTTCTTTTTTATTTTTTTTTTCGTTTCCTTTTTTTTGTTTTCATTTTCCTTTTTCATTATTTTTAACCTGTAAATTTTCATCTAAATGTGCAAGATGAGCTAAATGATGAATTTATATTCTATTGTTTTTTTTTTTGGTTTTGTTTAACAAATATTGCTAAAGGTTTATAGGTAAATGAAATTTTTACTTACTTTTAATTCACCGTTGGAAAGAAACAATGAAATTGTAAGGGAACCTCTAAACTTGCTCTTTAAAGAGTCTTAGACACAGCTTTCCCTCAAACTGTAAAGAAAATGAAAAATAAGAGAACAATTATTAGAAATGATTCTTGTAGTATTTAAAACTAATTCAAATTCAAAAATAAACTTAAAAAAGGCTCTCTATACATGATATATTGATATCATGTTGTTTTTTTTTTTAAGATTTTACAATTTATGACATAAAATTTATTGTGGTTTTTGGCGTTATTCAAATCTGGACACTAGGTTTGTCTGGTTACTTTTCCTGCAGGAATTTTCCAGCAGCTTCTTTCTGAGAGAGAAGAGTAGTTTTATTCCCTGTGCAAAGTAAACAGACGAAATCCCTGCAAAAACTTGCAATCAATCAACTAGAATGCCAAAACAAAAAAAAAATTGTCCATCATACAAAGAAATTAATTAAAAATGGACTAAAAACAAAACAGTCAGGCTTTCGATTTCCAACACAAAAAGGTGTTTTAAAATTGCTTGCCCAAGTATAAATCACCGAAAGGGGAAGAAGACAAGTTGCAAGTAATTGCAGGAATTATAGACCACTACGAAATTTGAAACAATTCCGGTGAGTAATGTCGAATCCAAAAACCCTTAAATCTGTCGGTATAGTAATATGGGGGCTATAACAAAACATGGACCTATATAGTTCTTTTTCAATACCAAAAGCCCTACAGACTAACACATACAGTTCAAAAGTAAAGAGGAAGAGAGTACACATACCTATGTCATTTATAGAATGTTAAAGCTTGGTCTTGTCATAGACTACCTTTGCGGAGATCTTCCCAAACAAAAATATTTCAATTTTCTTCTAGTTACCCAAGATTTTTTGATAAAACAATTGTTGGTTTTTAATTAAGACGCAATATTAAAAAAATAACACTGTAAATCAGTGTAATTAAATATCAAAATATAATGTTTTATTTATTTAATCTACAACAGACGATAACATCAGCTAATTAAGTTGGTAACAGCTAAAATTCATTATACCTACCCACTATTTACTAGGAATAAAACTCAACATGAAACGATAACACAGCAAAAGCAAAATGGCCGTATGACTGGCCATTTTATTTATCAAAGAATTTTCCTCGCAAATGACAAGAAAAACAAAAACTAAAAATATACTATTGACAAAGAAAGCTTTTCTTTGTAACTAATACAACAATCATATTTAATCATAGATAAAAAAAGCTTCGATTCTTTTTCAATGGAAAATTCCCCGCTCAATTACATTACAACAACACGGCTACAGGGCAAAAAATGTTGTGTTTTTATTTTTTTGCAATTGAACAAAAAATAGTTATCAGTAGTTAAATATCTTTATAATTACAAAGTGCATTTATATTGTCGTCAAAACAAAAAATATAATAAAAAAAAACTGCAAGCACGCAATCATTAAATGTTGAAAAGCACAAAAAACATCAACTAATGAATATAAAATGGCCACCGTGGACCTTTGAATGCCAACAAAGGCGCCATTTCCTTTTAGTAATTCAGATTCCACGACATACACTCTTTGCCTCTCACCATCTCTCCTGAAGTTAGCAGAGAAGTTGGCAATGAGAAGGAGAAAGAAACGAAAAATGCCAACAATGCAATGTCCCCGACGTAAAGCGACTCTCTTCGTCGTTGATGCAATTCCAAGAATCTCAACCACCCCCTAAAGAGAAGGTCATCTGTGTATGGGAGTGGGAAGTTAGATGCCTGGTCGAAAGAGAAAAGGTGGTGTTTGTGCACGTAACAATATCAGTGGGCGTCGTTGTTTTCATGAGTTTATAATGCAAAAAATAACATGCATAACGATTGTATTGTTGTTGTTTATTTTTCTTGTTTCTCTTGTGAACACATAAAAGTAAGTCATACGGCATTTGTTGTTCGGGGATATTTTTGCTTAGATTTAGATTTTTTACGTAGATTTAAGAGATTTAAGTATTTGTCTTCGATTCTTTGTTGGTGTATTAGGGTGTGGGGAGTTTTTATTTAAAATACATAAATATAACAAGACAAAATGTTAAGAAAAATAAACATTAGATGAGTTGGTAGGTTTTGAGGGGCTGTGAAATATGATATCTAAAATTTTTACAAAACTAAGAGATTCTTGCAGGTTCTGAAATAGATCAACTAAAAATAAAATTGTAATTTTACAAAATTGTAATTTTTTTTGTTTGTTTGTTTGTTTTTTTTTTCAAACTTCAAATAGAATTATAAATTACAAATGAAACAATTCGATCTTAATGTGGAATTCATAAATTAAAAATAAAATTAAAATTAAGAAAATTGAATTACACATGAAATTATTCGAATATCAAATGAAAAACTTTAGAAATACACATAGCGTAGCCCGACGTCAAGGAAGTGGACGGAAGAAAACTGCAACATCAGCAGAAATGGTTCGAAAAGTAAAGAAGCGACTTTATCAAAACCGCAAAATTCCATTCGGTAAATATTGAAAAATGAGCTCGGGGTAAAGCCATTGAAATTCCAAAACATACAAGAACTTTCACCGCTCCGAAGAGAAAACATTCGTTCTTCAGCAGTTTGTAATGGTGATGGCGTGGGCCGCCATAATAGCCGATGGTCATTTCCCGCTCGTATTAATCTTCCGTGGCATGAGAATAAATGCTGAATTTTATCGCGAAAATATTCTGGAGGGTGTATAAAAGCCTCGGCCACGCAAACATTTTAGCCGCAGACCATGGACATTTCAACGGGACTCAGCACAATCGCACTCAGCACACGCCACCCAAGAATGGTTCATTTCCTGCGCACAATGCCCACCAAAATCTCCGGATAAAAATCCGTTGTACTATTGTGTCTGGAGTATTTTGAAAAGCAAGGTTGGCACTAAAAAATACCAAATTTCGATCACCTCAAGCAAGCGCTTCGAGGGAATGGGCCAAAAAAAGCTCAGAGCAACATTTGGGCAGCGTGTGACAGTTTCATTGGCCTTTTATAGGCCATAATTCGTGCCAAAGGTGACCGATTCGAACAAATCTAAACTTATTCTTAAATTTCATGACATTTCCAACATTTTTTGCTTTCATTCAATAACATCAAATTATAATCGCTACTTTGGCTCACACTTTTAGTTCAACGAAAAGAAGATTTTTTTATGATCCTTTTTTTATTTTTCCAAAATGGAAATTTGGGATAAATTATTTTTGGAGGATCTTTATACGTATGCCAGTATGAAAGAAAAACACAATTCAAAATTATTTTTTTTTTTTTCAAAAAGTAATATTATTGGGGGATTTTAATAAAATTCCACAACTTATTGTAAGTTACTTAATGATCCACGATTATAGCACCTGAATTCCCAAAAATTAAGAATACCTATTCTTAAGTATTTTAAATGTAGCAAATAATTAAAAATAGTTCAAGAGTGGCGATTGAGTAGAGAAAATTTTATAAGTAGTGAGAGAAATGTATCTTATGAAAAACTATAAAAAGTAAAGATCAATTAAATTAAAAAAATAGCTTTTCATAATTTCAATTTTACAAGTTGGCTCTCGGTTGCCACATTGGCAAATATTTATCTTGTTTATTATTAACAAAGTATTATGTTGCCCCCTAATGTTCTGTGTGTGTTGATGTTACGATACGTTTTATTATCTCTACTTGACGACATTGGATTGACAACATGACGCACTTGCTCATCAAAAAAGGTGGTGACACCATAATAATACAACAAAAATAACAAAATAATAAATAAGTCAGGTATATAAAAATAAAAAAAAATACAAATTGTCAACTCCATCTTTTCCATATGGGAATTCTGGGAAATAAGAAGTACTTTGGGAGAGCCTCTTGCAAAATGTCGATATTATGGTATTCACTTCAATAAGTTAAAATTATTTTTAATTTAAAACAAAAACGATCTCATTACTTACAATTATTAGTTATGAAACTGCTTATGCTCGGGGGTGAGGGGGTTTTGACCCGTCACACACACACAAAAAACGCTGGTAACAGCGATCGCTTAGCCGCTGTTTTTTTGAGGTTGAGGAAATTTATTTGTAAATAAATCTCCTCGCAAAAAAGACGAAGTCTTTAATTTTCTGCCAGTTCGGTGCGATTCACTTGAGTGGTTTTTTGTTAAAAAAAAAACTCTTCTTTTGCGTCTTAACTTTTTTCTATCAGCAGAATCTGCAATTGATTTTTCTCTTTAGAATTTTAATTGCTCTGACTTCCTCACCCGCAAAAAACTGAGGAAGTAAATTATTGTTTTTCACACAATATTTACACTCTTTTCTAGGATATTTCCACTTTCAGATTTGTTTGACTTGAATATTTCACGCGAGTATTATTATTATTAAAAAGAAAGAGTTGTTATCTCTTACGCGGTTTTCAGACGACCAAACGTAAAACACGTTCAATTTGCTTCGAATTTAGTTTCGTTGTGAAATTCATTTTCAAACGCTTTCTGAAATGCCGAATCATTCAGGCGTTTTACTTGAGTGTGTGCGATAGTATCTGTGTGTTGGGAAAAGCTTTTTTCAACCACTACAAGTGTACGAGGAAGACATTGTGGATTTTATCTGTTATTTTTTAAAAGTAGTAAGAGAAAGAGAGGGAGAGAGAGAGTGAGAGAAGATTACCACCAGAGATGGCATGTGCAAAGTGTATTGCTCTTTGCTGGTGTTTACATCATATTTTGGTCTGAAGTGTACTGTTTGTTTGCTTGCTTGCCAAAATACACGACCGGTTATATTTAGCCAACCGGTTTTGTTGAATTGATATTCTACCGATTCAATTTTCTACAAAATGTGTACATAGGTACAAAAAATTAAACAAAAAAAAATACCCTGCGAACCAAACTGTCCATTTTCGGTCCGACTTCGAACCGAAAGTCTGGAGAAACTTCCGATTTCGCATGCGAATTCGGTACAACTTGTGACCGAAAGTTGTGTGGAGTGATTGACTTGTCTAGTAAAAGGTCGAGTGAAAGTCTGAAGTTTTAGCCGACTTTCGAACCGAATTCGCATGGATATCCATGGGAAATCTGGAAGGGAAAATAACATTTTCGGACCG